CGACCATTTGGACGGCTCTAGCCATCAAAACGAGTATGATGGTTAGGAGTTGGGTGCACCACCTCTCTCCTTTTGTCCTTGTATTTGCTCACCTTTTTTCATCGTGTTATTTTCATTTATGTGTCTCCTTTTGCTTTTTATTTTCTTCGTACTTCATATTATTTCTTTTGCCCCTTTTTATTTTTTCTACTTAATTTATATGATTCTTTCTCGATATTCTACTCTTTGGCTTTACGTTTATCTCTCTCGTACTTTTTACTTTTATCTATGCTGAGTTTATCATTGTTTACTTATTCTTTAATGCATGGTAGGCACTGATTTTGCAAAATATAGCCGCCTATACCTTTGCTGAGGTGACGTAAATATTACTTTTAAACGATACTTTTCACATTTTTTACATTGATCTTATTTTTATTGGTAGTCTTGCCTATGGAAACGAGGTTATAGCAGATGCCAGACTGCGGAAAATTTCGCCATGTAGATTGAGAAGGCTGAAATTAGTGAAAAAGTCGATATCTTTTTTGCTGCTCCTTAGGACTAATCGATAAATATAAGTCTATGCTAATAATTGGATATTTATATTCTTAGACATTTGACGTAGAAGCGGAGCCACGTGTAGCCCCTTGAGATTTCTCAATAGGCAAGAGAAGGCATTAGATTCGTCTAAATACATGTGTTTTAAGGAAAGAAGAAGGGATTGGGCCTTGGCTTGTCCCAAATTTTGTCTATGCTTACAAGTAGGCCGAATATCAGTCACCGCCAAGCACCAGGTGGTCACATATACAAGAATGGTACATAATAATACAGAGGTCACAATTGTGATGGCAACGGTGGACCTCATCCATTTTGAAGGAGACGTTCTCTCAGCTTCCCTTAATCCATGACCCTTCTCTTGGGGTCCTTTAATCGGTGAGATTTTCCTTCTGGACTTACTTCGCTTTTCCAACGCCACAGTCGCGGCTGTGAAAGAAATGGAATAAGAGAGTAATTGGTGTGTTCACGTCAAGTCGTTTCGAGCACCTAGACTCAAGTTTAAGGCTCAATCTTCAGGCGTCTGTTTATTCATAAGTGCTTAACTTGCATTAAGGTACACAATTCAGTTGGTAAAAGTGAAGAAAAAAGGGAGATGTCTATTCTGGGCTAAAAGAGTGAGTCAGTGTTCCCCATGACCACTGCGTTCGAAACGAATCCGTTCCCAAGGCACATTAAAAATGCCGATAGGAATTGTATATTCTTTTAAATTTTGTCTTTGGTTCGTGGATGCTTGTAAGTCCCAGTTTCTTATTTTGCAGCCTTCTATGCCGTAAAAGCATTCCTGTAGTTGTTTTATGCTTTCCATTTTAGACAAAGAAAGAATGGCTTGGGGGGTTAATTTCGTTGTTTGAGCAGCCACGCATAATATGGATTTTCGTTTTTGCAGTTAAAGTGATTTCGTACCTTACTTTAGTAAATTTTTATCTTCAAATTTCATCAACACAAATTTGAGTGAATAGAATATAAATATATTTTGCTTTTAAGGTCTTTTTGTTATTTGTTTTACTAGTCCTTCTTGCGCCGTATTTGTACTGCTTTTTGTAACGTCCATATTGGCTTGACTGGTCTGGTAATGAGGTATGGTGTGTATTGCTATTTCTCGTTTGACGCGCCTAATCTTTGACTAATATCTGTAATTTATGCGATTCTATGTGCGGGGGTCTATCTGCGCTGTCAATTCTTCCGTTCTGATTAGCATCTAATTTCTCATTCGGATTTTGGGTGGTTTTGATACCATTTTTGACTCATTAGCAAAGTTTCTTTTTTGAAATCTTTTTTATGACGTCGCTGTTTCGTCTATAGTCTAGGATGACGTCATTCCCTCTATGCTCTATGTGAAGCGTAGGCAATTTTTATTGTTGGTGACCGATGCATCATTTTCTATGGGTTCTTGATTGCCCTTTATTGCAGACGATCGTTGTGCGCGTCGAAGTATTGCATTCACAATCTTTATTCGTTCACTTTTCGCCTTTGGTGCCATTTATGTAGTCAGGTGTATATTTAATGTTAGATGTCTTCATCCCTTTCCTGAATATCTAAGGCCTCCAACCAAGCATTCCACCAATGTGGACACTGCTCCTTCGGTTGTTCCTGTTCCAACTGTTGTAAGCCGACCAGCCCTTCCTTCGACAACCCCCGAATCTATGTTATCAACCACCATACGGAATTCGCCTGTCAGGCTTCTCCTCAATTCCACTGCATCGATTTCAGATACATTAATATCTGTTCAACCACAATTCGCACTTTTTCCTTCTGTAAAACTTTCATCAAGTGACCAGGTTGCAGATCGATCTGCTGTCGGTAACTCTGGTAAGCCTTGCGCAAATAATTTGAACCAAGTTTTGCATTACTCATTACTACTTTTCTCTCATTCTCAGCTGGAGCTGTTTCGAAGAAAACTGAGTTCGATTCGAATTGTGGTGGGAACGATACAAATTCTTCACACTTCAGTCCAATAACGATTATTAGTCCAACTAAAATGTCTTCCTCGCCTCAAATTATGCCTCTCGTCCAAGATACTGAACTGAGATCTTTTGCTAGACCTACACTGAGTGGAAGTGCGTCATTCTCCACCGTTCCAACTACTGCCAATGCTAAAATTCTGCCCATCGCAGTTCCTGCTGACGCCGTTTCTCATTCGTCTCCCAATCTTTTAACTACTCTTCGAGTAAGTTATATTACGTCCAGACTTATATCTAGCAATATTCGTTTTCATCTTTTGCCTTCTTATTTAGCCCGCAAAAAGTGACTCTGCCAGCATTTCGTCCCTTTCCACGGTGCAAGTAAGTGCTGCAGGTCAATCTCTTCCCGATCCAATCGTTAGCTCTGCGTCGCCATTTTTAAAGGCCTCAAGCCTTGTCTCTCATTCTACTGTTCCTGTCGTATCTGTTGAGGCGAATCAACCAGCTTCCTTGATATCTGTCTCCAAAAGTGGTCAGTCTTCTATTAGACCGGCGCCGAGGGTTCCAATAGCAGTTGCTCCGAGTCGACCAATGGCCACAGGAGTAGCACTAAGTCGTCCATCTATTAGCCGACAGCCTATTATTGCTCCCGTCTCTCCAATAAATTCATCCACTTGTCCCCTAACTCCAAGTCGAAAACGTGCTCGGAAGCAACAACTTTTGGCCCCACAGGGAACAGAATCTCCTTCCACTGCAACAGGCACCGGCGCGTCGTCAGCTGTGGTCAATATTGTTGAAATGGTCGCATCGCCGAACGATGGTGCCTCCAAATCATCGATTCCAAAGGTCATTACTAGTCCAGTTGTAAACTCAGCTACAACAACTATTTCGACGTCAACCCCTAACATCGAAGCTGCTCTGGTAGGCTTTGCTACTTTTTGCTATCGCTTGCAGCTTGAATGCTGGATGAGGCCTTGTGGCTCTTGTTTTAGCAATCAACCAACCCTTCTCCGCTACCCATTGTTACTGTGGCTAGCTCAAGCTCATCTGGATCGGGTCAGGTGCTAAATCTACGTTTCCTGCAGGTCCGCACAGCTGCTAACAATGTGCAAGCAGGAAAAGAAGTTGCGCCACATCTTGAACAAGTTGCTATGTCACCTGCGACTTCATTGGTGGCACCTCAGTTTCATAGCTTGGTTGTCAGTTCATCCTCAAATGTCGCGTTGGATGAAGTGCAGCCACCCCCGACTTCAACACCGGCACAAACCACTACCGCTTCGATTGCTGCGTCCTTGGTCACCGCATCCTCCTTTCATTCAGGAAGTATCGCTCCCCAACAATCAATGTACGTTTTCCCCACTACGGCTGTTGCGACTCCTCTGAGGTCAACTTCGACTGCAACATCGTCAGTTGGAAGTGTAGTTCAGGTGCGCTTTCGAGCTCCCACTCCTACGAAACCTCTTCTCTCTAACGCAACAGCTCAACAAGTAAGTTAATATTCCTATAATGTTCATGGTATCATTGAACTAGTTTTTAAGCCTTGATTCACTAACTAAGTTATCCATAAAAGTTGGAGTCTCCGGTTTTATTGAAGTGGATCGTGATTTTTAGACTGTACGAACTGCTTTGAGCCAATCGGTGACAAGTAATACTGTGCAAGGTGGCTTTCATTTGGCGTTACAGCCTGCATCTCCCCCTTTGAGAAAAGCTCCTTCGATTGATTGGTCTACTCCAAAACCCAGTACGCCAGCAAAGCAACCGTTAGCACTTTCTACAACTGCCGCGTCTGAGGAGTGCACTCGCCAGGTACCATCGGCCTCTATCAACGCAATCCCGAAGGTACGCTGTTTTGTCGCCATATATGAGTTGATTATGCACTGGCGTCTCCATTTGTTGGTACCTTTTTTTACAAAGGTGACTCCGATGGATAGCTCAGGTCAACCGACTGTGCCGATTCTTCGCGTGCCCGATCCCAATTCTAGGAATTGCTTCGAAAATTTTAGTAATGCAAACGCAACTATGGCATCCCCCTGCAAACGACCAAGGAAGCAAAGCAATAACGGGAGTGTAATAAAAAAGCAATGTACTTGGGAACTGCGTACTGATCCAATGGACTCCAATAAAAGTGTTTGGCGATCTCCTCTAGAATGCACAGATCGGCTGTCACCTTCGTGCAACTTACAGGACTCTGAACGCACGGGCACCACTTTGAAAAAGGAAACCGTGTCAATTGGGGCTGCAGATTCGATTATTCATGGTCGCCCTGTGAGAATGCGCATGTACAAACCATTGCATTCAACTTCACGTTTCAGTGGAGTTTGGAAGGGACCCAAAACTGGCCACTTCCTCAGGTTTTCCGATTTAAATTACTTTATTCATTGTTGCATGTTGCTTTTGAATTATCAGAAGTCATTTACAATTTGTATCAATAAAAGGTTTGGTGGGTATATTTACACGGGATCGCAGTCGCCATTGAAATCGCCAGACTGCCTCGAATTCATTGCATTGTTATGATAGTCGAAGTCACGCAACACATTCCTTTTCGTATGTTAATTGTAGATTCTTAAAAGCATATTTAAAGTACTAAATTTCAGAAGCACCTGTTATCTACTTTTTTGCGGGTGAAATCATGTAGACAGGATTGATATTCCGTCAATTTTTTTCGTTGTCATACAACTCCCTCTTTCACTTACCCTTTAATTAGTTTAATTTTTCAGTCAGCAAAACAATAATTTGCTACCTTAATATTGGTCTTAGGTCGTCTGAGATACGGCAACGGTCAGAAGGTTCTCAGCATCCTTTATTCTCTCAATTTCGAGCGTCATCATCTATGAACAGGCATCCTCTCGAGTCAGGGCTTCGACGCCGACGTCCGCGTGATCCAGTACAATATGAGCAGTTAGAGGTATTTGAAATTGGCAGTTCTTGCAAGAATCCTGACTTCTTTGCGCTCTCCGAACTGCTTGAGCTGAGAAATCAACAAGCAGAAATGGGTTTTGTGAATTATCCCGTGGACACAACTTCACCACTTGATCTAAATTGTTGGAGAATTGTCTTATGCCTGAAAAATTGTGAGAAGTTGGTAAGTTGTTAAAACTATCACTGCACGCGTTTAAGAGCAATCTAGGCACTACACTACTTTTCCCCTGGATATCCTAAAGCCTTATCACCCTACATCCAGTCGATATTTTTACTATCGACATGCCACTTTGTTACGGTATTTTGAAATGAAGAGATAGTGATCTCTTTTGTCTAGGCTTCAAATGATTTGATTCCTAAATCTTTCTTAGATTGGCGTAGAATATGAGAAATTGTCGACGCTTTCCAGGGCATTTGAAGGAATCTTTCAAAAGCGATGTGAATGCTGCAGTGGTCAGAGGATGCAAGGAGGGCAGGCGTCTTCTGTTCGTGATTTTATCGAAGATCAGCAACAGGAGTTGATCACGAGGCTATTCTTGCAGGCTATCCCTCCTGCCTCTCCCTCCACCTCTGAGTCTCGCGCTGGGAATTCAGAGGAGCTAGGGAAGTGCAAGAGGACTGACGATAAGCCAATGCATTATACAAAGGTTGGAATGGACCTCAAAGTAATTGAAGAACGTGCTATGGTCAGTTTTGATCAACCGCTGCTCCTAATCGCAACGAGTGCACTCACTTTTAAGATTCCACAAATGTTGTTGCCTAGTCCTATGTGATGTATGGTGTTTATGGGTTAGGCTTTGTTATCTAAATAGACCTCTGTTCGAATGTCTTGTAAACTGAAACAGCGCGGTACAGTTGGTCATCTTCATATTTGACGATACTTTGTTTTCCTCTGTTCTTCTTTCTAGGGCTTGCTTCAGAGGATACAGGCTTTGGTCGACGGTCTTCGGCGTGTGTCTAAATTGTCTCGCGATTTGATTGCTGGCCATCGGGAGCCCGTTATTTCCTTCGTTGACGACCTAGAATTCCTCCAGCAGAACGGCAGTGCTCGCTCCTCTACACCTTCTTCCTCTCGCTCCCCTCACCATCGGCTAGACGAGGGCAGCAGTAATAGTGCCATTGGCAGCAGCACTAGTAGTGACACCGATGATGAAATCGAAATTGGTGACGTGAGGGTGCGGACGAAGCCTCTAGGTCCTCCCTCCTCATCTCGTCCAGCACTATCGTCTACTTCTAGTGGTGGCCGTCGAAGATCAGTCTCCCCCATGGTAATAAAGAGCTCGTCTCCTGTTCGCGCTACCTTCCATAACGGTCGGCGGAGGTGATTGGCATTTCAGTGAGTTAATAGGCTCTTTAACTCATCTGCAATGATGTTTGGCACGCTTATAGCGATACTTGTGTATTGGTGTTTGGCCGTGATTAGAACATCATGCGGAGCAGATTACAGGACCTTTATTCCTCGCATAGTATTTTTACATTTACTGTATGAAATCTATCGTTTCTCTGTCGGTATTGAAATGTTATGCATTTAATTTTGTTTTGAGTAGACTCAAGACTGCAATTTGTGTACTCTCTTCTTACCTTTGAAAAGTGGTTTAAAGTGCCTTCAAATCCCTTTAAGCTATTATTCTGCTCAGGTGTAAATAACATCTACTGTTTCACATTGTAGATTAAGGAGTTAGATTAAGTTGGAGGCCGAGCAAAAGTACTTATTTTTCAAACTGCGTTTTCTCCCGCATTGCATAAATCGGATCTTTGCCAAGGCAGCCAGAGATTTTATAATTTTTGAGATGCCTTTTTACCTTCTACTTCGTAAACCAAGTTGTACTCCTTGTAATCTACTCCCCTAACTAATTGCATTTGACAACCAAAACACTGCAACACTGACCACTCAAAGGCCTGTGATAATCGATGCCCATTGGATAAATACTGGCGCACCCTGCACTGTAAAATGTAAAGTCATGTTTTCAATCCCATCCCTCCCTCACCCTCTTTCCGACGAGACACCCTCAGCCGCATGCCTCCCAATCTTGTAAATGTTGAAGAAGCACTTGTTTCTGCTTATGCCCTCCTGTATATAAAGATTACAGATTTGTCCTGTGCACTGACCTCCACTTCTCCCTCCTCCTCTCCTTCCGCAATGATCCTCTCTACGCTTTTTGTACACGAAAAATTTTTGTACAACATTCGGTTCTCTCCTCTTCCATCATCATTTCTGCACCATTGCCTTTTGCCGTTTTGCGAACGACTGGCAGTTGTTTATACCTACACAACTATGTACAACAGTATATTTCCGGGCCCGTCTACTCGTGTAGATGTGCGTGCGCGGTTGCCCTGTCTTGGGTATCAATATAAGAGTCTTAGATTCGACACAATATACCATCCTTTGTTCCATATTTTCAGGAGTTGGGCTCCAGTGGGTGATATTTTGGGTGGAGCAGGCCGTGTAAAATCTACCTCCGGAGCTTCTAACGTGTCTGCAAGGACAGTTTTCGGAACTAGCTGCTGCTCATTTTCGACACGAGGTACGAAAACGACGAAGAGGAATTGGTCATACAGATATGTCGAAGGGAATTTCGTATTCTTTTTCAGCCGTGCACTTATCATTTGGCCTAAGGTATTTGGTCAAGCCTTGCACTTTAAATGGTGACTCCATGGCTCATCCGCGGGCAAAATGGCTTCCGACCCATAACAGATATGAATACACCTAATCGAAAAGTTCCAACACGCAAACGGTGTACTCCTCCGCGGTCTTTATGCTCTCAAGTTGCTGATTCTGGCTTTGATTAGGAGGGTATGTAACAATGCCGTCCCTGAGGCAAGATGAAGAGTGCTCTGACGCGCATTGCGCTTACGATTGGTCCTGTTGGAGTACGGTAACTGGAGCTAGTGTCCATCAGTTATGTGCCCACATAGAGAAAAGTGATGAGCGAGCTACTAACCCAAGTCCATCCAGCTTTTACTATATATGGTGAGGGTAGTTTAAGTTGCTGCGTTTTTGTAAATCAATCGGGACGTATTAAAATCCGGAGTTTAAACATTCGGCGCATAGAACGCTGCCAAAAAAATTCTTCATGCAGATAGGGTGTCCGCGCATGCAAAGATGCGTTCTTGAAAGACTTGCAAAATTTATCAATGAATTGCAGACATATCATCTTTCTTTGTACCCCTTGTCGCTTCCTAATTCGTAAGTTCAGTCTGTGAATTTTGAGCTACAAAGTTCTCCGTCCTTTGAGAAATCGAAAACCGTTTTAGTAAGAAAACCGAAACCACATTCCTCGCTGCTTTCCGCGAGCGTCTTCATCTTTGAGTAATTTTCGTTGCTAGAGGTAAAGACGTGCGATTGCGGAAACCTCATAACTTTGGTGATGTTTTGACCACTCAGATCACCTTTACCAACGGTGTTCACTACGGGAGGTGAGACTACGCCGAGAGCGTGGAATTCTGAGTGTGTGAGGGCCTTCACCCACGTTCTGGGTAAAGTTAAGGGAGCGGTCTCAACTATCGGTATTGAACTCTGCATCAGAGATCGCAGGTCCAACGAGATGCGCCAAATTTATCACGATACTATGGTGCTCTACCACAACACATCTTGATAAATGGGTCTGCATGAGCATATATATCCACAGTCCCGCAAAATGCCTTAGCGACATTAAATAATCCTTGACCATAACACATAAGTCAATCCTCCCAAGTTTATTGAGCATAACTAGTAACGGCCAAGTTCAAGTTTTTCTCGTGGCCAAAATGGTAAGACAACGATACAGATCGCGTGAGTATGGTATGATACGCCTCTGTGGATAACACGGGATAAGGACGAGCATATTCAAAATCAGATGTTAGCTAATGTCCAAAGCCCGTATATGCGGCTTAGAGTCTCCAGAACTGCTGATACAGCAATGCTAAGCCAAATCTCGGTATCATATCAGCGCGTAGATTTTACCAGTTTCGCCATAAGTGATGGTGGTCAGATAAAATTTAAACGAAGAAAATGTATTTTGACACAAAAATTTAGAGATGCTGCGGTACCTAAAGCACTCAGATTCTTGTCAAGACAAGTGAAGCAGACGGAATAATCGCACTAAAGCAAATGGTGTACGATCCGCGCAAAGGAGAGTTGCTATCAAACTCATAAACTATTCTGACGACCACAGCATTCTTCTGTTGCGAGTTTTCAAAGTCCGAGATGACTTATCTGGCAATGGAAGTTTAACAATTTGTTCATTCGACCGCCTTGACTGACCTTTGTATGGGTGGACTGGTCGTTGAACCAAGCTAAGGTTAAATTTCTTTTCTCTTCCTCGAATCCATATATTTATCCCAAATTAGAGCCTTCTTCTACCTGGTGAGAAGTCTTGGGACTCTACAGCTCAGAAGACTAGCCCATATAGGAAGGGATGTGTTGGGGTCAAAGTGGCCAACATTCATATGGGTAGTCAGATATAAAAGGTGCCGCAATAGAGATTAGATATTGATGCCTTCGGTATGCTTAAGTCGTCAGAGTGTGGAAGCATTAGCAGCTAGGACGAAGAGGATAAACATTGACTCAGAACCTAGTAAATGGTGCGAGTTAAATTTGCAATTCGTGACACATTCAAATAAAAAAATGATCTGCTTTGTAAGAATAAATTCGAGAATGTATGCATCGCCGTAAACGCAATTCCCAGAGGTTCAATCAACACGTGGTTTCCGTTTAAATGATTTAACTTTCAAACGGCAATAACTGGGCCAGCTAAATATTTTGGTGTTCCATTGTGTGTGCCGTAATACATTATTTGACCGCCTGATGTCTGGCGGTCACTTTAGGGTTCGTCTGACTCTGGTACGCGTGAGCTGGACTTCGGGCCAAGCTCAGCTCTAACCACTTCGTTCTCCCTAGAATACATGCATTCAGCTCCACCTATTGCCTACTTCCACCCGGTGGGGTGTTTTGAGACGCTACAAATAGAAAAGCATCTAAGATGGATAGCTCAGAAGCTGGGCAGATCATGAAATCTAAGAGTGAAAAGACAACGATAATGAAATCTAAATAATCCCCATGACAGGTTTCATGCTATGGAAAAGTTTTTGATTCTGGAATAGTTATTCCATTGACGCATATGAAGTGCAATATTCCCATGCAATAATTGAAAGCGCAACAAATCAGTCAAATAGCATACTAAAGTCAATCGAGAGCGTCGAACAGCTAACGTATTGCTGCGCTTAGTTCGCTTTTCATATACATCAACAAACATTATAGTTTCTACTCTACTTCGACTTAAAAGGAACTTAATATAAAGTCATTGTTTATAACAAGTTCACCGTTTGTTTGCACGCACTCGTTTCCGGTATTTGTCTTTGCTGCCATAGAGATGCGCGACTCGGCTTCGCCGTCGAATAGCTATAAGAGGGATGAATCTGCTCACTCAAGGGGTCGAAGTCGGTCAAGATCGAGGTATGCTTCTAGTGCACTCTATTTATCCGTAAATAGCAGGTCCAGATCGCCAACCCCAAAAAGTTATCGTCGAAGAAGAAGTAGGAGCAGCAGTCGGGACTACAGATCCCGTCGCGCGAGGTGAGTCGGTATTACTTACCGAGGTCTGATTTTCCTCGTTGCTTTGGGGAGTGTATTGTTAAGTGTATATGGGGGAGTGATTCAATTGAGTTAGAGGTTCGGGGAACAGTGGCGGGCCTTGGCTAGGTCGAAGACTTGTTTTTGGTTACCTTCGGCTAATTAAGTAGGTGCGGAGGATGTGTTTTTAGTGTGAGTTTACCCACGGATGTTCTTCATCACCCTTTTAGCGGTTACTCGAGTAGTTATGGTTATCGGCGTGGACAGCCAAGGGACAATCCAGTTCCTTCTCGATGTATCGGTGTTTTTGGTTTGTCGCTAAGCACCACGGAAAGGGATCTCTATGACCTCTTCTCTCGCTATGGAGAGGTGGAGGACGTGACCATCGTATATGACAACTTCACGTGTCACTCAAGAGGATTCGGTTTCGTATACATGAGGCACCTTTCTGATGCTAAGGAGGCAAAGCACGATGCTCACGGTACTGAGCTCGACGGGCGTCCCATTCGGGTAGATTATAGCGTTACTGAAAGACCCCATTCTCCGACTCCCGGTGTTTATATGGGGAGGCCAACAAGGTAATATTTCCTCAGTTTTCCGTTGGTTGTTTGGTACCAGGTTATGCGCGTTATTTGTTTAATACTACCGAGGAGTTATTAGGTGAAGCTGGGGGTGCTTTTATTGTATGGGTTTTTGCAGTTACAGTGCTCATTTCTACTTTAGGCGCTGCGGTGCTCGTCGGCGCACACCTTCACCAAGGCGTCGGTACTCACGTTCACGCTCTCGAAGCTATGATTAAGAAAACTTTTGCATTTATTGTTTTACACCTACCACACAACTGAATTTGTGCCGTATAGGCGAGTTCTGCACATCGCTATACAGGTAACCACCAACACAGTGCTCCCGCTCTGCCGTTATGAAAATTCGAAAAATAAATCTATTGTTTTTGTACGTACTGCTCTTTCGTCTGACTTGTTTTTCTCTTTGCAGTTTTCGGTCAGAACGCGATAATATGAATAGGAACGAGAAGATGAGTATAATTTACGTAGAGGTGAATGTGGATGAAGTTAGCGAATCGAACATTCATGAGAATAATTTGGCTACCGAATAACGATTTGTCTCTGGAAGAACATAGACGTCCGAATAACTATTTATGAAGTGCAGAATACTGGCATGAATTGACTGCTTGAATTATTATTTGCTCGATTGTCGCTGAAAGGGTAAGCTTTATAGGCTTTGTAAGTTGCATGCCGGCATGCTTTAGTTAAGCGTAGGGCACAGATTTGGTTCATTGCGAAAGTTGTCAAATTCGGGAGTCACGCTTACGTGTCGATAAATAGTGATCAGATGTCAAATAGGCGTCATCTTTTCTCCAGACGGAGACTTTTATTGCACGCTTTTGCGCAGCTTGTCTAGTGCTCCCATTGTTTCTTGTTTGTTGTAATTTTTGCAATATATGTGTTGTGATTCCGGTTTGTTTTTGGTTTTTGTTTTCCCGTACGCCACTCTTAAATGGCGTATATCTATGTATTCAGTAGTCTTAGTGCTTTCGAGTGTCCCATTATTTTTGTGATGCAAGGGACGGCGAGGTGGGTTATCCCAATGCTACTAGATTTGGGGTCGTGGGATAATCGATTGAAGGATTTACAGATCTGGGTTAAACATGGACATTCCGAGGAATCTTCCTGTGGCCCGCCTTTGCGAGCTGCCAGTTACTCCTGTATTGTTGCGGCATTTGTTTCGAGGAGGGCAGTTATGCTTTAAATGGCCATTGTATGTATTGGTTTGTCTCGACGAGCTCACTCTCGGAGCCGGTGTCAGGGTTCTTCCTTCGCAGAAGTAAAAGCGAAATTATTGGTAGCTCTCGTAATTGGAATCCTTGGATACGTTCGTTGTCCGTAGATTGTCAATAGTCGGGACGGGTTGGGATCTGTGCGTTAGAACTCAAGTGGGAACGTTCCTGTCTTGCTTCATTTTGGTACATGGCGTCGTCCATCCTGGTCTAGTTCAGTTGTTCTGCTGGATCCAGAAATTTGCGCCGTTGCGCTGAGTGTCAGTGTTCCACATTTGTAAAATTGGGTGCGTGATTTATCATGTTTGTTCTGGGTCTGCAAAGGTGACATTGCTGCGTCACTGTCACTTGGCTCACGTCTCCGTATGGATACTGCAGACAATTTTACAACCGATTTGTTGAACTATGCAATCACTTAAATCGTTTGATGTAAGCACTGCGAATTAACGAATTTGTCTTGGAAATTAAATTCAAGACTGGAACGTGAGTCAACGAAGGCCATTATATCAAAAGACTGAATTTTTGAGCTTGTAATGACACCCGATAAACACGATAATGGGCAGTTTCACTCCGTTGGGTCGTTCAACTTTATCTTCTTGATGACTTAAAGAAGGAAGATCCCAAGGATACGAGTTGGAATTACGTTTCAATTTCTAGGTGCACACGCATTTCATCATCAAACATGTAGCGGATCAACCCATTGCTAACCCGTAAGTTAATGGAGAACCGGATTACCGTGTTAACCAAAACTATGACGAAGTCGCAAATCCATTGGTAAGCGGAAAGCACCAGAGCAGTCGTCAGCCCCCTCAGCGAACACAACTCTAATGACCACAGCTTTATTAGCCAATGACGGGAGGAGTAAGACCAGCGTAAAAGACTCCAGAGTAATACATAAAAACAAGGTATTCACTGCTCAGAAGGAAGAAACATCAATCATTTGTGAGAACCAGAAAACGAACATAGATTGTAAAAATTAAGGGGACGAGGAAACTGTTAGTCAAGCTCCTTCTGGGCAAAGAGATGAAGCAGATCCTCTTGATAGCGCCGACGAATGGCATGACGTGCACATTTCATCGTTGGAGTAAGAAGACAATTCTCAAGCGAAAATTCCTCCGGAATCAGCTTGATGGCTCGAACCTAAACGAGAAGCATGGTCTGTATATACACATATTCAGATGGAAGAATGAGGCGTTTATTGCTCAACGCACCACTACAATTACAAGACAGAAGTGGGATGGTTAATAGTAAACCAGTTGTGGCTCTACCAACATGAATCGCTCCACCAGCAATCGCTCCAAACCATGTTGAAACGGCTTAACTTGACTTCAAAAATTTGACCAGTTCTTTCATTGAGTGCGACAGCATTAGTTAATTCATTTCACAAGAGGGATGGTGCCAAGTGGTTTCTGGATTAGAAACAACAAGTCGGCTAAAAATGCTTGTTCAACCTCAAAACGACAGCGGATCACACAACGCAAACCTCAAAATAGTGGACGATGCTTGCAAATCAATCGCACTTTTCAAGTCAAAAATATCAAATGAGAGGAATAAAGAGACCTGTTCGAAACCTTTGAGTCCGGCATTTCTGCCTACTTGGGTGAGTTCGTTGTAGACGAATCTCTCAGCCTCAGAATTATTACAGACATCTGCCATGGTCACCATTCTTCCATTAAGGCAAAATCTTGCTAAATCTTCAGTTTCGCCTTCCATTGGGGGGTTTTTGTTCTGACGGGATGATTTTTGCGTGCTGTCGGTGTCACCAAATGAATCCTTTTCCTGATTGTTGATGGCTCTGCATACTGCATCTCCATCAGGAACGATCAATGCCACCGGGTAGGAACGTAGCGGTGAACCATCAACAAACACCTGACATACCAGAGACGCTTGCAAATAGACCTGCTCAACCTTCTCCGGGGCAACGTACTCCCCTTGAGACAGCTTGAAGATGTGTTTTAATCGGTCAACTATCTTTAGGCGATTACCCTGTCAGAAACAAACTTAACTTTAGATGGATTGCATAGCCTAAATTGAATACAATTGCTACTTAAAAAGCACAAGTAAATGCACGAGGACGAGATCAGAGGTTCGTATTAGGGGATCAACAAACCTCGCACCAGACACCGACGTCTCCCATGTGAAACCAACCCTCCTCGTCTATAGCCTGAGCGGTTAACTCGGGCTCTCTGAAATAACCAGGAGTCACTACTGGACCACGGCAACAAATCTACAAACAACGAACTTTTAATTCAGTGGCAAAAGAAAGCATCCTTGCATAAATAAAGAAAACAAATAGTACTGCTTCTCTATAAAAAGCGACAAGCTCGCAAACACACACTAAACACAAAATGCCATGTCAGTGAATTTGGAAAAGTATCTAGTCAAGTGTCAAAAAATTAAATGGCTCCAGACCTCGCCCTTGTTGTCTCTGGCGGCGACAAGGCCCATGTCAGGAACGTCGACAAGTTTGACTTCACAAACAGGAAGAGGTGGTCCTACATGACCTCCTGCCAGGTCGCCAAATATGGAAGTGGTGATTGCACCACAGGTCTCAGTGGAGCCATAACCCTCAAACACCTACGTTGGAAACAACAATAACAAAGGATATGTGTGGGGACAGAGGAATAATTTAACCGGGATATAAGCCATGTTGGACGTGCATGCAAAATTTGATAAAAGGAGTCATTTTTCTACAAGCATGAAGTCCTGACTCACCGGACAACAAAAGGCGGCTCGAATGAATTGCAAGAGGTCGCCTGAGATGGGGGCTCCGGCGGTTATAATTGCCCGAATGCGTCCCCCAAAACGCTTTCGGATTTTGGAGAAAACAAACTGATCCCACACCGTATTGTGCTTGTAGACCTGCCTAAAGCATAGAATGAAGTGGCGAGATTGGCGCTAAAGTCCTCTTATTAATAACAAGTTTAGTGTAAAAAAACGGAGTGCGAAACATACTTATCAACTGACTTTAGCTTCCGATTTATAGCCGTCTCAATGAGACGTGCCTTGAGTCGAGAACCAGCTACCTTCTGGTAAATGCGCTGTCGAATACGTGCAAGCACTCGAGGTACAGCAATGAGGATAGTTGGCTGCAGGGTGCGCGCGTCTTCTTGGAGCATGGTGATGTCTCCACTGTAGAAACCTATTCTGCCATGTGCATTTAGAGCGAGCATCTGGACCGGAAGGCCGCATGATGATGCAGGACCAAAGAAACATGGGTGATGAGATATCAGCAAGGCAGACCAAAAACCCAAATGAACTTCGTTCTACTGAGGCTTCATACATCCCTTGGTCGAAGGCATTAAAAAATTCGCTTATGAATGGGATGTTTCAAAATTTTTCCAACAGATGTTGGAAATTAAAGTCTGTTCCTTGCCTATGATCGTAAACCCTTTGTTTGTGAAAATAAAAGTAGGGGACTCCTTGTTTAGAAATTGGTAGTTTGTAAATAACAGAGAGGAAATCTAACTAGTTCCACCAATTTCGCTAATGTACGAAGATTGAAGGAGTCGCTATTGTTCAGTTGTAGTGCTTCTATCACTAAGCGCTTCTTTTAGCCGACTTGGTCTTAATTAGATTTCACATTGTGTTGGAATGCCACCTTCTTACAGGTACTAGTTTAAAAATTGAAAAGTGGCCTCCACCAATTGTGCAAAAGAGGAAAAACTTGACAACTCCCTCTTAATTTTGAAATACAGCCCTTAAATTTTTACATAGAGTGCTTAATTTTTAACTTTTTCCATTGAACATATATTCGTGTCATTATAATTGTGAACGCCCATCAATCACCCGGAACTGAACGGAAAAAAAGTAATGGCATGACGAAAAAGAGAGCGAAGTTTTAGGCCTTCCGATACAGCCAACAGCCGCAACGATTGCATACTCACTCAAGGAATGAAAGTTGGAATCAAAACAATTGGCCATCTATGGCCTCTGGCGTGGCAACGGATGAGTATGGTTGTCTCCACCACAACACCATGAATTTCACGCTAGAATGGTGTCAACGATACTACCTTATTACATCAGTTAGCAGCACAAGTGGATGCATAGCAAAATTAATGTAAAACGCACCACGTTGAACTGTTCGAAGATATGAGCCAGAGGGAGGAATGATAAGTATACATCGTTTTGTGTGAATATCTGAGAACGAGAAATCAGATTAAAGGATGCCTGCAAACCATCTGATGCATAATGAGACCATTTGCATGCCATAAAGGTCTCTAGTGAAATATGATTATTAAGGGGCTGGATACAGCACTCGTACAGTTCGACTGGAATTCAACATGACTCCCGTAACAGTTGCGATGAGCATCTTGTTAGTGATGATAACACCCTTTGGGGTTCCTAGAATATCAGAAAAAACGCGCCAATTAGCATGTCATCACAAACACCTTATCCTTTAACCTAGAACACTCACTTAACTTAACCTCAGGTGAGACAATAGACAAATCAACCTGAACATGAAATGTTGGGAAGCACGTAAAAAAACGTCATTCACAAAATGGGTTCCTCAAGTTGTTCAAACACTAGTAACCTCGACTTCATAGGCGGAAATCTATGCTCCGTACTTCATACCAAGCTGGCAAATCGCTAGGCAGAGGTGGGAAAAGTATAACTGGTAGACACCTCAGAACAGTGTATTTGTTATTATAACGTGGGTTGCCAACGCGTAATTAGCAGACCCAGTCAACGAACGCCTACACTTTATGTGACCGAAAATACCTCTAGGCCGCCTAGAGCAGTTTTGCTGAAAGCTGGTCGAAGAGAGCGTTTTCATCCCTATTGTTAACGGCATGACAGTGAGATTCACTTGCTTTGGCTTCTTCTCTATAGTTGACAAATTTCAATAAAAGCAAAGCTACATTGACAAAAGCAGTGCTTCAATTTTGCATGTGAAAGGAGTAACGTTACAAAATCTGGTAACTCCCAAGCGTTTTTGCTTTGATACAAAACGGTAATTTACGCAAGCACACGGGGACGGAAGAATTGGTCCAAGACACAAGCAAAAGAATATCTAAGAGAAAAAATTATGATTTGATAATTATAAAGAAGCGAATGGGTAAGAATGCACAACGGCAGTGAATTATTCAAGCTAGGACCTGTTGTTCCGCTGGTATAGCAGATGCATACCCATTCCTCCGTTGTTGACGGCTGTAGAAAAGTCACAATGTAAGCAATGTAAGCATAAAAAATGTCAAATTCATCAGGTGACATCAAGCATTAAAGAGCTAAAAATGGATTAAGAAAGTGCAAGATACTAGGGTACAAGGGCTCGCCACTTTATCGTTAACTTACATCAGGTGTATGAGGCTTCTCGTTTCCTTTCCTCTAAAGAGATCAAAGTAGTGCGTCTAAATAACGGATAATGTGAGATCAACAAGGCATAATTAAATGATTATTTACACCCCTGCACATCCGAGGAAGTGCTTATGCAACAAGCACAAATCCATACCACGATGTCGGCGAAGTCATGAATCTGGACGTCTTTGCCAGCCGCGTCACGGAGTTGCTTCAGTGTGGCCTTGTCCGATTGAATTAGGATGATGTGACGGAGGGCTACGTCCAGATCCAACAACTTTTGTACAAGGTCCGGCGTGACGCAAATACATACGGTCAGCTGAGCTAGCATTGGAACGGGAACAAGAGCGACAAGTGTATACTTTCTTTTTAAAAAAATGACACATCTTTGAGAATTGAACTACAAATTGATTGTGCCATCCTTGCTCTTTCGCTCTAGCACTGTGATTTAAATGAACATTTCAACTTTTAGCTATAGAAACAACTAAAATTGTTTGATTACACTATGTCCCACCCCTTCTTCGGCCCCTCATGACCCCGTAACCTCGGCCCAACGGAGTCCATGATCGCAGGAGCACATGTGCAGCAGTTACAAGATTCATGACAAGTAATGATGAAATAGCAAATGGGAGACCATTCCCGCCCCAAAAATGGACTCACACTGATTACAAATGTGCTTGAGAGCTTCCGTTCCAAGAGTTTCGTAAAGAGGAACTGCAACCAGGCCGTAAGTCGTACAGGCGAATTCTGCAACCAACCACTAGAACAAAAAATCACCAAGACGAACAAAAAACAATGATAGCCGCAATAATCACAATTCAGTCAAAGCGGTAAGACGAGTTAGCCGATAGATGAAAGCCCCATTTAGCTATCCGTCTACGCAAAGAATACACATCCAAAGGAAACAAAGACAATGACTTCATGCGCTAAGTCATTGTAGTCTGTCTTTTAGTCGCAGACACAGAAGGCTCAGATTAAGAAGTATGACACTATGCTAGTAAGCGAGGAGATGCGCAAAGCCAAAATAGGGCGCAACTAGCATTAGCCTGATAGAGACTGCTTTCAACAGCATCAAAAACAACTTCCTATAAACATGGAATTGAGGATAAAAATAACAGTGCCTGCCTCGATTGGGAAGTGGTGTCAACATTTATACACATGGCTGCTATTGCGATTTTCGTTCATTTCAATTTATCATCTTACGCAAGATGGGCTGTGCAACAAGAGCAAACTCATAATCCCCCAGCTAAATAGGACTTCAAAAGCTCCTTATATACCGATGCGACACCGTAGGCAATGGTAACAGAGGCCTCACTCCCTTAAGAGATCAAGCACAACCATTTTGCGTGACTTTAAGGTAATCAATTCGGATGACATAATCTCAATTTCAGGTGCTCAAAACACTTAAGAGACGAAAACTAGGATGGATGAGAACAAAAACAATGTCAACTTTTGTAAAGGCGGGACAGTAACCAAATTAAATCACAACAGAAGAAAGCTCCAGCTCAACGCAGCGTTAAAGTGATTCGATGGACAAACAGTTGATGGAGGGCGTACGTAAGTGATGATTTCAAAACACGTTAGCATGTGTAGCCGAGCTAATAATCAGGAACACCATTAAATTTTTAACAATCAAAAGTGGGTACAGTGACAACATCTCGAACTTGAGGAGGAAACAGCCAGTAACGGAGTTATTATGAGAAGCGGAGGAGCGTGTACGCGAACCCGACCTACTTACTTTATATGGTGGAAAATTTGTTTGAGGCAGTTTTTCAGACTCAATTCCTTTGATACTGCAGTGGAAGAGCAAAGGGATGGGCAAACTGGACTGGTAGTAGGTTTATTAGGAAGTACGGACTTGAAGACTTGGGCACAAAGAAAATGCCTTCAAACTACGTTGTAAAAAGTGCAAAACGAAAATCTTACATCGACACAGTTGCGGCCAAAGATGCCTAAAAAATTTCCGCATTCAGGACTCTTCAAACCGCAGACATTAAGGAGACCCGAGCCCAAGTCGCGAACTCTTTCATAAACCTGCAATATAACACAGAGAGGAAAACAATTATGATTCCATTGGGCGTAGCAGCAAGGAAAATCTGAAGGTTCATATTTTCTCTAGCATGGTTAAAAATTCAAATGATCTGGACAGTTCACCTAGCAACTATCTCCACAGAATAATTTTGGGTATGGATGAAGAACGGTGAACTAAAAAGATAAAGTTCTAGAACAGTTTCCTCACCGCTTTGAAGGTCATCCACGAATAGGCCTCCGATGGTTTGGCGTGACTTCCAAGAAACGGCTTTTGACCTTGACGAAAAAGGACACGCGTAAAGACACTGACAACCCCAACCACGCTTCCAAAAATAGAGCAGCGAACCACTTTCCAAGTAGGTTCACAGTGCTCTAACAGTAGTGCGCTCTCGGAGCGAAAAGTGCTTAATACCGTTTAAATTTACTGCACAAATGCTCACGAAACGGCCACCCCAGTTTGGCTTATCGGTGGTTACTCAGAGAAAATCCAGTATAACCTGTTAAATGGCGATGTAAAAGACTACGGAAAGTGCACCCCCAAGTGTTCTTAAATGTCCTCGCTCCAGTAAGCAAGGAAACACCACACACACAAAGGCAGCACAGTAAACAGTAAACGAACCAGTTAGAAGCTATGCGAATGAACAAAATACATTATTTCCCCAAGTAAAGACACGCAGGGTCAGACTGACTGACGAAAGACGATCGGAAAAGGCAAGAGTCGATTCAGAGACCTGTTAATCACGCCAAAACCAAATTTGTTAATCGGAGCACAAAGACAGGACGACAACAACCATTTTATCTGTTTTATTCCAAACAGTAATCAAATACCTCTGTCCATCGAGCGAGTAACCTACGTAGTGAAGACAAATGGGAAAGATTTATTTGTGCCTCATTATTCCTTGCGTTAGTAGTAAAGAAAGAAGTACCCGATAATCGAACCGATTCCACAAGAAGGTCATGGACAGTGGTGAGGCGCTCATCAAGAAGACATGGAAGATCCGAGCTCTTGGTAAACAACGATCGACGGACGCCTTCCTAAAAACAAAAACCGTCAAGTGAGTCGTAGCTCACACAACCAGCAAACAAAGCTACATGAAAGCGCCTACTGTACTACTAGTAGTGGCATTCAAAGACGTAAAAGCAATAACATCCAAAGGCAAAATTACAGGAACAGTACCTTAAACTAATGGTTTGAAGGTAATTAAAGCAAGGTGCTTAATGAAGTATGGCGTTATGTTGCAGCCCCAATACCATACAAACTAAGGTTACAAGATCGCAAAGGGAGAAACACAAACCTCAGAATTGAGCAAGAACCCGTCATTGGGAATTGTCGAAACTATATCAAAAGGAGGCGGAGACCCAAAGAACGGCAACATAGTTCACAATTCCCGAGTAGGAAACAAGTCTTAGAAGAACAAAGCAAGCACTCACGATTGGCCCGTTCACATGGACACAAAAACTGCTACAATTGTAAAATTGTAGAGTCTGCAAACAAAGTTAAGGCAAACTTGTTCTGCAGTTACATTACTTGAGAGAAAAAAGAATCCTCAGCTCATTAAAAATACGCAGTAAGGGTGGCGCAAGAACGAACAATTCAAGTGGCAATATGCGGTAATAATACTTTCACGATCCACTTGCTTATTTATATGCCTTATTTAGGCGGTATACAGCGCATACACTCAGATTTCGAGGACGGTCACAATAACACAAAAAAAACCAACAGCGTCGTTACGGTGTCAAGACTCCAGGGATGAGCAGCGAGTCAAAAAGTTGAACTGAGTAGTACAATTCCAAGGCCATGTTTACGCACCGATTAAAACAGTGACACAATATTTATACCACAGAATCCGTTACTAACACAAATAACGAAATTCTACTAAAGATTATTCTGTTTATACTGATTTGATTATGCTTAACTAGAGGGATACGATTAAATTCGACTTTAAAGCTCAATTTCCTGAACCTTCGCGCAAAGCATTGTATGTGAAACGACAACTCCACCATCCTGCTTTTATACGAATTTTTTTGTTCTACCTAGTGCTAAGGGCTTTGGTACTTATTTGATATCTAAAAGCTGACACCCCTCGTGATTTATATCGACTGATGCAACCAGGTTCAGAGATGGAAGAACAATTTAGATACCATGCAGGCGAGGTACAAACACCCCTCCACACGCATTCGAACACCATTTAACACTCGATACACCCTACCCCTCTTTCTGCCCTTATGAAAATGTCAAATGAACTATCACCAAATGATCCCCATTGCGAAGGCTGAGACGAAAAATACCAGGCATGAGACAAGGCAATCACCCCAACCACCATTCCTCTCCCTATCCTGGAACAAGCAAACCATAGCGCGTTCACAGCAACGCAGGCGATCCGAAAGCTCCCGTCTTGAGAAAACAGTTCCCAGCCGCCAAACCGAAAAGTACATCGGCTAGGGACACAAAACCTCAACAATGACAATGAGCTAACCGATTTGCAAAGGAAGAGTCAAGCAAACACAATGGCACGAAGAAATAGCGTGAAAATCATGGTTCGTTTTGTAGTAAAGGCCATCATCGAGCAAGGGTTGTGATCAGCTCAGTGCAGAGTTCAAAGAATTCCATCGTCTGATGTCGCACTCCTGGCCCCCCCAAACGGAAAGCACCTGGGGATGCAGGGAAGTGGGATACAGTAGCGCCATTGCTGGTGTCTGTACCGGAGGTACCGATGTCCATAGGAACACTAAAACCGCCCAGTGGAGGCACTGAAGCGGAAAGTGGAGCACCGACACCCACTGTGTTCATCGGAGAACCTTTTAAAAAAATGCAATTAACAAAACAGCGAATTGGTTCCAAACCTACAGATATGCAAAAACTCGTACTATTTTGCATAATTTGAATTTCCGAACAAACAAATGCGAATTACAATGCGTTGGACAGACTCACCAGGACCATTTCCTTCAAAACACATGGAAACATTTCCCGATCGACGTCGATTAAGGATGGAATCTGAATCATTCTTCGTATCGTCAATACACTTAAAATCGAGGAGGTAGGAACGCGCATCCACCTGGAGAAGGGAAACCAATACAAAATGCGTTCTGTTGAGAAACATAGATAAAGGAGTATACTTGTAACAGTATCATAGACCAAATGCAGGAGTCCAAAATGGTCACGAACTACCGCAATACTTCTATGATTTAACTAACATTTTCAGAGGAGGAGCCACTTTGGTTAGGCTGAACTCCAGAGCATATCAGCCGTCCTAATCTCTTCTGAGTGCCTAGTGCTAATATGTCTTTTAAAATTATCTTCCACAGTCATCAGGAAAGTTTATGGGAGGTGCACTAATGCGCAAGTCACCAAGCGGAACTACGGAAATACTGATGACTCCTTACCCAGGTAAATTGTCACGTGTTCAGAAATACGCCAAGTGCTCAGAGAAGTAAAACAAGAGCACCGAGAAGGCAGACTCATTTACGAGTCGAAAAATGGGAAGTAAGAATTTCTGTCTGATGATACTAAACTCAAATGTGATTAACAAAGTGCAGCTAGTCGCAAAGAGAGGAGCTATAAATGCGGATAAGGCTTGCCTGATAAAGTTGAAGCATTATCTTGAAATGATGCTGCAGCACAGGATTCCACTTGCGCACTCGGATGTTAAAGGGAGTGATGACCTTCCATTCATATCCAAGAGTACTCATGGCGCGGAAAACCTCCTGCATAATGTCCCAGGGTCGCGATTGTGACCTAATACCCAGGTGCCACTTGAAGCGTTTCGCGCCCGCAGCTGCTGCCGCTCCTGTAGCAAGCGCTGATGCCGCTGTCGAGGAGACCGAGGAGGCAACGGTGGCACCCACGTTCGACGAACCCACAACAGATCCACCCAATGCTCCCGCTCCTGCAATACCCACCCCACCTGAAGTGACTGTGACGGAACCCGCCTAATACAATATAAGAGAAGCAAAAGTGCACACGAATATACAATGGATTTAGTGTTTATGCCGAACAAAGCCGATGTTTTAGCCATAATATCCGGTGGTGAGAAATGAAGTTAGCATAGTCAAAGTGATTAAAATAATGATAAAAATAAGTGAAAAGAAAATAACGAAAGCTTTGCAGTGATAATTGACAATAAGGATTAATATTACTAACGGTAGATAATAACGACTTTCGCCTAATTACGGACGATGTTGTCGTTTGAAATTCCGTCAGCCAGTCCGTAGAGCATCCATTGTTGTTAGTAAAAATAAGCTATTAAGAAATAAAGACATACCGCGCCACTGTCGACGGGATCAAGTGTCCGAGTAAGCGGCGGACCCTCTGGCATTCGCTCGGGATGCGGTCGATTGGGGGAGAGGCCGGTGCCACCTGCATGTAGTTGTGCCCCTGGCCCACTGGAGCCTGAGACGATGGCTCCCGCACCGACACCACTACTACTAACGGTACCAGCACCACCTGCACCTGAACTCTCCGTTGTAGCCACGTAGAAGTTGTCTACCTCCTCCGGTTGCAGCACCGATCCAAATCGCCTGCGATGAAATATCGAATTCAAAATGCCACACCTTTAATGAAGATTTATGACTTGGAGGAACAAATGAGTAGGAATTTGACAAAACAAATCTTAACGGATGGCATCAGATACTTCTAATGGATAGTATATCTTATCACCAAGCATACAAGAAAAATTTTCTTCTAGAACACACAGTGTTTAGTCTTCGATGACAAGAAAACAGAAATTTATACACTACAACGATGTTCCTTAAGAACTTAAGCCAACCTGAAATAATGCAACCATGGAGCTCAACTTTACATATGTATCGAGAGTGACAAAGGTCCAAGCTAATAAAATTTTGCATTCATTTGATTAGCTCAATAAAGTAATCCAGAAAATTCTAAAACAACAAAAAATGCACATAATAGTAGCAATATACATTGATTTCCCTTACGATTATGAACGAAAATCCAGATGAATTAATATGAGATACCGAGCAAGAGAGTCCAGCAACACCGAAATACAAACGGGTGATGAAGGCAGCACAAGCAAAATTAATTGATGGTATCAACTGTCTATTTTGTGCCGCAATGGCAACAAGAACCATAATGGTTAAATCTATCCCTTTCTGAAAGTGTTGAATACGCGTAAACGTATAGCCATTTGCAAAACTGCCTAGGTTGCAAGGTGAACTAAATGGCCTTACACTTACATAAAAAACCATGCTCGAGACGAGCTTATTGACATGAATACCGTAGGTCAAGGTCCAGCGTTCCTCGGTAATATTTGTGGTAAAGGAAGCAAAAAGGCAAGATGACTTAATTTACAGAAAAGGTGGCCGAAGAAGTACTGGTTTTACGTCGATGCCTTTCAGTCGAATTCATACATACACGTGATCATGTCGACGCACATGGCAAATAAATATCGGTTTTAGTGCATATGAATAAGAGTGAACGAACGCGGTGTAATTCAGTACCATGTGAACAAAGGTGGCTTACTATGCTATAATTATGGGGTCAAGATGAACCGAGCTCACTTGTTGTCAATGATCAGGTGGTAGGCCACGCAGAGTTGGTCGCTGGGATCATTGGCAATTAGAGCTGCAAACACCTCCCGTTCAGTTACGTTACAGGCCTGACAGACTTCATAGACGGCCTCCTAAAATTTAGTAAAATATAATCCAGTAACAAAGCTTTGTGGATAATAAACTGTGAAAAACGAATTTGACACCGATATGATCAGAAGTTGGTAGTTTCAAACGATGTGACAAGTCTACCAAACGCCTAAGATGCTTCAACTTTAAAGGCAGACAGCAAATATAAAAGAGCTAGGAGAGCTTGTGATATCTTGGCGTTTCCGTGTAAGGATTCAAATGTCATTGTTACTTAAATTGGCATTTTTGGGATGCAAACATTAATTCAATGATAAAGTACTTTGGAACTTACACGCTTCCATTAGAACAGAGTGAACATGGAACACAAGGCATTGGGAGCACGGGTAATAAGCAAATTAAACCGTATAATGCAGCGAAAACCAACTTAGGCTGGGAAATCTCAGCACACTCTACCATCGATACCACTCTTCGAACTATTAATTAGTGACAGTAAGATGCATAATCAGAAGTCAATTCAGAAGCCAATGCAAGGCGCAAACGAACATAACCCACAAACACTGAAACATCCAAACTATCCATTTAGAGTCCAGGTTTTGGGCATGCAATTGTGATTCACACGTACAATAAATAGGTTGGAGCCATCCGCATATTAAGGAAACATCACATCTCATCTGTTGTAAATGCTGACGCATTTTCGTAGTATAACAGATGCGAATTGACCAAAGTACTCAAAATTCAATACCAACGTTTTATGACGAGAGGAGATATTAACTTCTAATAGGGAAGAAAAAGATATACAGCGACGTACAGTAAAGCGGAAATGATCCACCTAATAGAGTGAAGTGAATAAATTGATGGGGAAAAGGAAAACACAGCGAAAAGAACGAAGTGTTAAAAAATCATACATTTCATGCGCGTTAGCGAGTGGCTACAAGTATTCGTGTGAATGCGAGCATATGAGGGAGTACTAGATAAACATTCCAGAACACCACTTAACAAGTGGAGTGAGCTCGAAAAGGCGTGCTAACTTGTCCAGCTAAAGCTGTTGGTTGTGTGGGAACTGCGTAAGTTTGATAGCAATCGACCTATGTAAAGATATGGAATTTCAACAACAAACGGACACTTGACAAGGCTACTTGATTAGCGGAGGTACCACCCTATGGACAATGCTCATAGAAAAAGACGTTTATAGAGCCAATGCATCATCCTCAAAGGACACCAGAGCAAGAGATTCCTCTCGAGTTGGGGCATGTAGCACATCGTAAAAATTTACCTTATCAATGATAGAGGCATCTTCGTCGCGCTCTTGAGGGAACAGATGTGGTGGCAGATCGATGACGAACCATGGATGCTTTCGAATGTCATCGATGCTGATGCGTTTTATCGGATCCACAGTAAGCATCTTTTTTAAGAGGTCACGCACCTGAAAAACAAAACCACAAAATTTCAAACTTTTATCAATAATTCAATTTTGGCCGTGAAGACCCAAATGGTTTATTACTTTAATAAAAATCATTGCGTTGTGCCCCAAGGTGACCTTAATGCCATCATAGTACGATTAACAAAATCGATCGAAATCATCGCTAATAAGCACCAACGGCAGTAACGCTAGCAATCGCTCAACATTACGCCGGAGACCAAATACAGCACGTAAGACCCAATAAATAGGTGTGTGTAAGTCGAGTATAAACTATCTCCAAGAAAGGAATTAAGTATCTTAGATTCTGCAGCCCAAAATAAAGCCGCTTGAATGTCTACATCCAAAAATAATCGAAAATAGCACAAGTCAACTTCTCAAGAAAGCTGCAAAGCATGAACGAATGCCATTGCCCTGCAAATGGAGTGTCCTGATGTATGGGTACGATTCGTTGACTTTTTGAGAAAATCATTAAGGGGACTGTTCGGACAAAAATGCCCTCGTAGCCGAGAGCATAAAGACTGCACTCGTTACAGGATACAGGTAAATAATGCAGTGCACGAAATCGGGTAAAAGGCAGCTGCACACGATTAACACCAGCACGCAAGCGTAAATAGTAAGAGCAAAACTGAAAACAATCTGTAGGTTAGAGAACGTGCGGTTCACACATTTCCCGAGGTTGGACATCTTTAGTGGTCACTTTGTTGATCCAGTAAATAGAGAGTGCGGATAACGCATACAAATCCTTTTAGCCAAGGCGAAATGAGAGTGCGATTTCTGGAATAGATACCTCTTAAGAGATATCCCTGCTGTAAGTATTGTCAAAAGTTGAGGCAATGATTAGGACACGAATGCAAATAATAATTTTACAACCTAAAAAGCTTTAAAAAATGACAGTAAGAAATCGTCGAACGACGTTGCTTAGAGATTTGTACCATAGAGAGAAAAGACTTGCTACCAGGCCGCGGAGGGACGATATACGTCCAAGAGTTTCATCTCAAAAGCTGTAACAATAGGTAACTTAACTCACACATTAATAGCTGGGATTCTATGAACCGTTAAAGAAGGAATAATCAGGGAATAGACAACTAAAACACATTGGTAGGTCTAAGCATCAAAGAGCAATGAAAAAACTTGATCGGCAGTATATACATATATATATATATGATCAATAGAACAAAATGAACATTACGCTTGCACCCAGCCACTCAGGCATGTGGAAGAACCCGGCCTTAATCTTCTTGAAAAGTGTAGGAATATGTTCTTCATCAAACGGCAGTGTCCCACATAGGAGAGCGTAAAGGATAACACCGCAAGACCAAACGTCTACCTCAGGACCGGCATACAGCTTTCCAGAAATAACCTCCGGAGCGGCATAGTTAGGCGACCCGCAAGAAGTACGCAGAAACTCACCATCTTGCATAATGTTTGACAGACCTGTGGGATAGGGTGTGTTGGTAAGAACGATTGTGTTGGAAAATGACTTTTAACCGGTAAAAAAATACCCGTGTCAAAGAGGTACAACAAATAATCTGACTATTTTTTTGACACACAGAACAGAAATGGTAGACAATACACCCCCTAACGAAATGAATGAGTTCAAGTTACTAAATGCACTAACAAAAATCAGGTAAAACTTGCCAAAATCCGCTATTTTGACATTATGATTACAGTCTAATAGAAGATTTTCAGGTTTGAGATCGCGATGAACAACTTTGTGACGGTGACAATAATCCACACCAGAAATTATTTGCTGGAAAAATTTTCTGGCGTCCTTTTCACTTATTTTTCCGGACTTGACAATGAATTCAAATAGTTCACCGCCACTGACGTACTCCATTATCATGAATATATCAGTGGGAGTACTGATGACCTAACGAATAATAAAAACTCAAGCCATTTACCTGGTACAGCTTTATAATGTGCGGATGTCGGAATAACCACAGGTTTTGAATCTCTCTTCTAAGTTTCCCAGCGACATCAAGGGCTTTAATCTTATCCCTATTAACGATCTTGACTGCAACTTGTACGCCAGTTGATTTGTGGATTCCAACTTTAACTTTTCCAAAAGTCCCAGAACCAAGAGTTTCGCCAATTATGTAGTCACCAATACGAACTTCTACTGGCGTTTTGGGAACAGAACGTCTGGAGTCAGCCATGTGTGTAGCAGAAACAACAGAACGCAACTTCTACAACCGGTTATAGTTACCAGTGTGCGCTTTTGACCAACACAAACCCCGGCCAATCAAAGCATACAAAACCTAAGGAGCATTGACACTAATATCACTTAATATTTGCATCACTTCATTAATAAAGATGAAATACTCGCAAAAAATAGTGATTTATGATCAGACTGATTAAAACAGAGCAAATGCACATGTGGTCAACGGAAAAACCCGCAATATATATATTTCAACGCAAAATTTCATGAGTTTTATAAATGAATAAGATCTCCTAAATTGTTTCTTTGGAAGCATTAACATTTTATGTAAGAACTTCCCGCCTAGATTCATGCTCTTGAAGCAAAGATTTCAAGAGAGGATTATCTGCAGTAGATTTATTAGGCATTGATTACAGGAAGAACGGGGATAGGAGCGCAAATGAGCCGAATAACAGATACCGCTCCGAGATTGATTCCTCACGGTCCTCACGCACGGGATTCGAGTCCCACTTTTGAGTTCCCACATCACTCCCATAAAGATCGACACGAATTTTGACTGCTCGATTTAGAAGGCTAGCTTCCCATAACTTCTCTAGGCAGAATAAAGCATAATGTATGTAGCCTTCCGAGACTTCCCATGGAGTTAAAGAAGGCAGTGAGTGTGGCTGGATACCTGTATTCCCGAGAGATCAGAACAAATGTGCCTGAGCGAGGTTCGAAGGCCAGTCCACACGCACAAGGGTTAGATAAATCATTAAGTGACCGCCGAACGTCACTTAATCACAAAATCAAAGCAATACAATGTATTTAAGGGAAAATTTAATATGTAAAACTTTGACAAGGCCAGAAGGTTGATTGTAATGCCCTTATTATGCAGTATCTGCCTGACTAGCATTCAACCTTGTAATGCTTTGATTATGCCACTATCTGAAGTCAATCGATTAACTTAGGATTCAGCTTGCTCTTGTACGTGTAAGTTGGCCCTCGGGCCAAGTCGAAGCCAAATCTCCACTCAATTACTTCTTCTGGGAAGTCTTGAATTCTGCAACTGCGAGCTGATCCCCAGACCAAGGCAAGGCCCAAATTTTTCTTCTTACTGGAGTCAAGTGCTCACAAATTTTGGTATCTTCAACTACCTAATGGAAAGTCTTGGGACGCAACTGCAATATATACTAGTTTGTTTAAGTAAACTTTTATGGGAAAGGGGCGGGAACCACTATTAAATTGATATCTCCTATTTGGTTCATCTGCAGTCCATTCTCCATTCTTCCTATAACAAGTGCCTAATAAATCATCTGCAACCAACTCTCTCTTGAAGTCTGAGGCTCAAGAGCCAGAGGGTAGGCAGGCAGCTCTTACAGTAACGCCGAATAAACGGGAATGAACATTGCCGTCAAAAGGGCTCTTTATTCTTCAATCAAAATTAATAAACTTAGCGCTGCAGTGTTGTTCATTGACTTTGGACCTTCTTCTCACGATCCTCGTCACACCTGTAGAGCTCTGGACATCGCACAGAGTAGAAGAAGGCATCAAGTGGAGCTGAATACATGTTTGCAAAGGAGGACAATGCACTAGGTCCAAGCTTGGCTCGAAGACCATTCCTGCGTACACAGTCTAGGCGAAACTTAGAGTTACATTCAGACATCAGGTGGTCACATAAACATCTGTATATCTGACAGCCACATTGGTGCTTGTCACTATTGAACCCTCACTCCTAGGGTACATACGTTCACCCCAATCTTATACCCACTTCTGCCTAGCGGAATTTTTAGAAGTGCTAATATAAGCCTAATGAAGTGTCTGGTCGATTATTTATAAGAAGCTGATACACAAATGTGAGAACAAATTAGTCCAACATTCCAATTTCTATTGGTGTATTTAGCAATTGATCGAAGACTGCGTTATAACAACTAATAGAGCTTCAAACCAATTTTCATGAAAAATATGCACATTTATTAATGTGTGGTCTGTCATCTCCACTCTTTTGGGTATGTTTCCTTCATACATTGCCTAAACAACTCAAATGAAACTGAGCTGATTGTCTAGTACTAATTTCAGAGGAAATTTCGCTTAGCTGTGCAAAACTTGAAGGTGCCTGTGCATTATGAGCAAGTAAATAAGCAATGAACATATAAGATGCAATGCTTCTTTCGTTGACTATCTGCTAAAGGAGAGGAGAGTCTAGCCTTGTACAGCCAAATAGAAGGTTACAATGGTGGCAGCTGAAAGTAAACTGAATTGCATAATGACTTTATTGCAAATTAGAGCGTTTGCAAAGATTTCTGCTCAATCAAAGGATTGCGAAAGGGGTCGGAAATTGGCTTCCACTCCATTTTCATGTTCCGTAGGCAAGTTACAAACAACTAAATGATACCGCCGTAAACAAACCACAAAGCGTTTTCAAATAGAATCCCCATTCATATCCGAGTAAGGGCATTGCCATTGAAAATAAGCTAAAAAAGCTGCCCAGTTACCTCTGTAATATTTCGTCTTCCTGTTATCAAGAAAACGTGTGCGATGCATATTAAAGTGACCAACAATTAATCGGATAGTCTGATGTGTAATGCTTTGTTTATGTGACTACCTGACGTTTGGTGGTCATTTTATGATGTGTTTGGCCCTTGTACACGTAAGCTAGCCTTCGGACCACGCTCAGGTCCATTTGCTCTGTTCTGTTCAGAATACATGTATCCAGCCTCATTCGCTGCTTTTTTTCCAACCTTATGGAAAGTCTCGGAGCGCTACATTATAAACAGAGTTTACGCTACTGCATCCCACAACCATTAACGTTTGAAACAGGATAAAAATGTGGAGATATTTTTGATCGTACATATTTCTAGCAGGAAATCATTTTGCTGAAGCAGATCAGTTTCCGCTTTTTAAGGAATTCCTTCATTTGAGCGTCAACTTTGGAGAGATAGTTGATGAACATTAGACTTTTTAAGAAATTCACATCGCACAGATTTTAGAAGATAGCAAAACACTTTTCAACAATTTTGAGCCTTTATGTAATGCGGATGTAACTCATATGAAGTGTTTTATTTAAAATACTTGTCGAACAAGTTTTTTTAAAATTCTACACACAGAATATATTTTCTACTCCAGTTGCATGTTTTCACACAAAACAATATTTGTTAACAAGCAATCTTATTAATCAGCTTACTTGATTTATCACAAATTAACGGACCGAACAATTCGCCTCAAATACTAAACTTAAAATTTATACAATCGGACTCGTTTGTTCGTGCTACGTCCATCAAGTACTCCACGGTACTATTTTAAACTGTTCTCCGTAGTCGCGTTTCAGTGACCTGGCTCGTTGTTACTGCAATTGTCCTTGTGGTCGACATAATATCACATTCACCTATTATGGTTGGAAGGTATGGCAAGATTTTTCTTGCTGTGTTATGCCATAGCATATTTCGCGCAGGCTGCATATGTTTCCCAATCCTACATACCCACCGGAATTTGTTTGTTTTGTGAGAATCGTGATTTATTAATTATGGTAGGTCCGTTAGTCTGGCTCGTGATCTATTTAAATCCGCATCCGCGCCTAACCAAAACCCGGTTATTATAATGCATGGGCTACTAGGATGCAAACGCAATTGGAGATCCATTGCTCTCGCGCTTAACCAAAAAGGTCTTGGACAGGTAATTCTTTTTCCTAACGTGTCCCAGGTATATTGCATCGATGCAAGAAACCACGGATCAAGCCCGTGGTCGAAGGAAATGAAATATGAATTCCTTGCCGAAGATATCCTTAATTTCGTCAACACTATGAAGTCTGCCAGTGTTTCTCTAATTGGTCACAGTATGGGAGGCAAGGCGGCAATGACGGCTGCACTGCTGGAGGTAAATTGCAACCAGAACTCCCAAAATCTTCTCTATTCTAGCCTTCTATGATCAATAGCCTGGCGATCGTAGACATTGCTCCCAGCATATCCCCAAACATGGCTGACACGAACTTTTTGGTTTCCCTGATGAGCCGCGTCGATGCTGAAAGAATGGCTAGTGCAAGAAACCTTCATACACTTCGGGCGTGTTTAATGAAGGAGTGGGAAGAGGCCGTTCCTGTATTTTTAAGCCCCAAACCTTGACATTACTACCTGATTAATTGCAATGTGGCTTTCTTTTTAGTCATACCAACAGCGCGCATTTATTCTCGATAATCTCATTGAGTCCGGAGGCAGGATTGCATGGCGTGTTAATTTGGAGGCTATCCGAAACAGCTTGAGTAATATTTTTGCTTTCCCCTTTTCCCGAGAGCACGATAACATGACTTTCGGTGGTCCTACTCTCTTCATCGCTGGAGAACTCTCACCTTTCTTAAAGTAGGTTTTGTATACACGTGTGCAATATGGTACTGCGAAGTACGTTCAGTAAATACTTTTCAGATCCGATCAAATGCCCAATGTACTCCATTTTTTCCCGCGAGCTCAGCGCGTGGAGATTCCCGGCGCTGGACACTGGATCAATGTTGATGCTCCCGGGCCTCTTACCGACAAACTCGCGGAGTTTCTTAATCCCTAACTTGATCATGGGTAGCTTTAATCTATCCACCGCAATGGGCTAATTTTTTGCAGTTCTTGTGACCTTTAGATCCGAGTTAAACTGTATTTGTAGAGCTTTTTGCGGTACATATGTTGAGGTGAAGCAACCATTCGATCAGATAACTAATCTTCAGCATCAGAAATTTATTGATTTTGCGGCTGCTTCCATATTCAATGCCCTCATAGAGAAGCACTAGCTCATAGGCTTTTTTGCTGTAAGGGTAGTGCGTTAAGGATATCATTATGGTAATCTAACAGTCGCGAACCCACCACTATTCCAAGAGAGTAAGGGAGTTATGTGCATTCCAGCGAAGTTTGAATGAATGGATATTCACAGCCATACAGGTATTTAAAAACTCAAAAATTTGACTTGAAAGCCTTGATCTCACTCATTATCTGATGGATACTGACCAACTGATTACGCACCGACATTGATTTGTACGGTGGAAGGGTCATAGCCTTTTGAAAGCGATGATAAACTTGAACGAGTTGGGAAAGAAGGGCCTAAAGTAATGGAAATTTTTGCAATAGTGAGCATAATTTGCAAGGTTTTCAAACATCAATACCTATAGATAAGAGTTTCCACACTGAAGACGCGTCAAATATGCAAAAAACAACTTACGTGGAAGATCTGAGTCCCAAGTGTAAAATTCGCGAATTCTAACATAATTTCGCCGTTGATCTTCTCAATTGAATTCTTCCAATCGATGTTAAACCCTTTGATAATACGAGTCACTCTGCCTACAAGAAATAAGTGAAAGTAGTAGACTTCGTTGGCACATATATCGTGTTCCCCACTGACGAAAAAACACCAAGTTTACATGATTATTATGTAGAGACCATTGGTGTCCCTGAAGTTGGATGTTAACAAAAACCACTATGTGGCTAGTTAAGTTCATTTTCTTACTCTCTTCGTTTTGATCGATGGGTTCATCGGGGCTTCGTTTCTCTACTAATTGGATGAAGTTTATCATACTGCCGAAGTAAGGTAGAAGTGCCTGATCAATGTAGGCTACCGTGTGCATTCCAATTGCCTCTCGACACCGATTAACCTCTGGGGCGTTGCCAGCTCCTTTCTCCTACAATAACGAATTTTGGATAGTAACACCAGCAATGCTTCGCCAAATTGCACAGAAATCAAAGCAATTGTCAATTGGAAGCCAGACCTAAGTTTAAAGTTCAAACTTTCATTGAGAAAAATATGACAAACACAAGAACAGATTTTGTTAACGTCAAGACTTGTCATTTTTGACATTACAAACTCCTAAGAAAAAAACAAGCGCAAAATAAAGAAATCCTACTAACTGAGAGAACACTGACGATGAGGTCAAAGTTGTTGATGAGGAAGACAAGTCGGAGACGGTTACGAGGAAGGGCCTTGGCGAGGCGGTAGCAGGCCGCTTCGAACTCAGCATGCATTCTGGACAAAGCGAGAACAACCCGCGGATCTAAATTGTGTCCTTCCGCCTGTCCTACCGCTTCACTTCCCCCTTTTGATGTATCTGTGGAATGTGTTAATGTAGCCACTAAATCAACAGGGAAGCTGCACATTGGTAATTGTCATCAAGGGTAAATTAGGAGACAGGCCCTCAAAAACTTGGAATAAAATGGGGAGGAGAGGTCAGTAATGACCAGAAAGTGGGTGCCGTACCAGAGACAGAGAGAGCGCTCCCAATGGTGTGTAGGCTAGCGGCTAATTCGGCGTAGCGACGAGCCACAGGATGGGGACGAATGAGGCTATAGGCACGAGGGGAGAGGTTGGCTACGGCAGCTGCCTCATTGATACTTCCACCTCGTTGAGCACGCAGATGAAGAGCGGCTAATTGAGCAAATTGAGACGTGTCTAGATTTCGCAAGGACGCGATGTGTGCATCCATGCGATCCACTACGCGACTCCACATTGTGTCCAACTGGCTACGCCAATAGCTGGTAGGAAATGTTTACATTAAATTGCGGACATTAACCAGAGTAAAAATAAAAGTAGCGGCAGTTATTAATTGTCAGCGTCAAAGTACAGCTCTTAGCACCAATGGATTTGAACCAAAAACGGTTAGATAGCTTTAAAATATTTTGAAACCAAAACAAATAGAAAAAAGAAATGAAGACATCAACTCGCAAACAACAGTCATAGTCTACCAATGAAGAGGGTGCGCCGTAAAAAAATTGCGTCATGAATTGAAGGCACAAAGTTTGTTACCCACCATGATATGCGAGCGCGAAAAACCTACCGTTCGAGGATGGGAATTCCACGCTCCTTCATCAAACTAATCATTAAATGGGTAAGTTGAATACTCAGCAAGACCCCAAGGAGATCATATTGCCCAATTTGAATTAGTGTTGGCATTACGCCTGTGTCCAATGTGTCAAGAGTTCGACTGAAGACTTTGTCAAACAATGACAAAGCTACCTGTTCACTTGTGAGTGGAGCCTTTGAGTTCGAAACGGGAGAACCAAAGCTATGAAGGAAGAAATCACCAAGAAATACGTATTCTCGGCAAGCTGTGTCAAGAAGGGCGTAATTGATCGACCTGTAAACCTCTTCAATCAAATACTAAAAAAGAACGCAAGGTTTTATTAGGGGTTCCAATGCTAAAATGAACAAAATTATTAAGGTGGCACCTTAGACTCGTTCTTTGCTGCTGCATGAGGTAGAAGGATAGCGGCTTGGAGACCTTCTTTAGTTAGCAATCTCTCAGCTCGGTCACCAAGACCAAAATGACCAGGACGTGAGGTGGGCTGAACTGTAGTAGCTGAAGACGACTGTAAAACGTTGACAACGCTTGGCGGGGCTGAACTCTGATTCCAATTGTTCAGTTCATCCGACTTTTTGCCTACGAGATCATCCTTCTCGGGAGAACTATCGACCTGAAAATTAACATGGTCAAAGTGTCGCGACCTACAGCCAAAATCTCGAAAACAAATCACCATAGCGTCACACGGTGGCAGTTACATATGACTTGTATTAAACTGGACATGAATGTAAATAGCCAAATGCATGTGAGACTTCAGCGCAAAAGTCATAAAGGAAATGAAAACACGAAATGTGCAAAGGTCAATAATGACTACACATCTGATAAAGTGGTGTTTAGTGCATATCAATTGCAATAGGCTTTAAACAATAAAGACAAAAATAACTGGCAATATTTGGTTTTGACGAATAACACTGTTAGCAGTGAGGAATTCAGTAATCCAGACAAGGCAACTAGCTACCTGAAGTTTGAGCAGCTTAGACGCATAAGTTTTGAAGTAGGCGAAGTAGACCTTATCCATTGTAGAGAGATAACTGCCTCGAACCTCCCTTGCAAGGTCTTTTTCATGAATCAGAAGGAATTCATAAAAATACCTGACAGAAGAAATAAGGGAACACCGTGACAGAGGTTAACAACACAAAAACACTTACCTGAAGCGCAAAAGCTGAGATTGAGGGACCTGATAATTTGCCATCGGTTTACGTAGTACCTTAATTTTCTCCAAAAGAAACTCTCGTATTCGAGTGATAGCCTTAAACAAAAAGCAATTAATGATGCTCCGTTTAATAAACAATTACAATGCATTTGCGCAAGGTACCTTGGTTTTTAATTTCTTCAACAACGATCCAACATCTTGACAGGCAGGGTACTCCAAAACACCTTGACCAGATATTATGTTCAATTTATGATCAAGTTCGTGAAGGTTTTCCATGAAATCTTGTTCAGTTACAGGAGTAAGAAGAATGTGTCTATGATACGAATAGAAGAAGAAACCCTACTTACTGGATAAGGGTATCTGGGATGACCATGTCCGATAAAAATTGACTGAGTTCACTACGAACAGCCTTAAATAACAAGAACGCTACCGATTACAGGGCAAAAAGCAACAGAAAGACAAATAATTAGGCATTATAGTCCTCCAATAAAGAAAGAAGTCCCACCAACAGAACTGTACATTCCGATGCGCGTCTAGTAATCGCATTTTACAACTCAATGACTCTCTATGCAAATCCTTCCATGGATACCATGCTTAAAATATTACTTCTCAAAAATCACCTGTCGATTTTGCAGCCTTTGATGCATATTCATTGACCTTATTTGCAGATCTTGTATATCCGAGCTGATGTTACCAAGGTCCCGATGAAAGTCAGCTAGTATCAATTCCATGCGCTAAAAATCTGATAAACAATGCATTTACCTCCAAGGTTTTGCAACAAGAAGAAATTTTCTTGTGCAGTCCGACTACGCTTGGACCCATTCGAACATCTGAGCATAAAGAAACGATTAAACTTACAGGCTTCTATAGCAGAAGATTCCAGACTCTCTAATTGCTGCTCAACACGTTTAGAATAAATTCTTAGGTCAACATCCTGTGACACAATATAAGGCCAATAAAAGTGAATACGGATTCAAGGACGGTGTCAGAAACTTCATTATTCAACATCTCATCATCATTCGTTTCACCGACTACATTGTACTGCGAGCTCTCGTTCGAAGCTACACAACCAGGAGATAGCATAGCATCCATTATTCAGTTTTCTCACCAACAAGGTCACTTACTAGCTGTATGCGAATTGCGTGACAAACAGTTAAACTTTAAGAAACAAACAGGTAAAATTTAGAAAATGAATATTTTCTGTCACGAACGCGTGAGCTTTAGGGGGACACCTATGGGCAGTAATTATTTCCCTAAGTGTTAGGGGTAATGAAAGATTAGTAGATTGACTCACACGAAGTTGACAAAAGATTCATTTATTTGCATTCAAATTGAGCTGTTCGTTTGAACTTATTGTTGTATGTCCAATGGTGCTTGTAGCACCAGATATGTTACGATGGCTGGCGCAATCGGTTAACGAAGGAGAGCGCTGGGGGTGTCGTTCAGTAGAAGAGGAGCAGAATAGTCTTTGGGCCAAACCAAGATCCAATCTTCTCTCAAATTCCTAAAATGTACATATCTGTTCCAGCTAATGCCTTTTTCACCTAATGAGAGATCTCGGGGTGCTAGACCACGAGCACCGTTGAAGTCATTTTGTTAAGCAAATCACGTCAAGGTAAACCTGCCAGCTATACTAGGAAAGTTCGAAGGAAAGGAGAATCTTTAAAAATCCATTTTCTTAGAAGGCGCAAATTTTTTCAATGCACAATATTGCCCGCGCCAGCCATCACAAAATATTCGGTACTATATGAAAGCACCCACGAGCTAAGTGTGCCAGTCAACAGATAGCATGAGACTAAGAAACGGTATTTGGTCTTCTCGGCAGATTCAACTGGACATGAAATTACTTGGATCTGACAGCCAGAATCGAGGCTACATACTTCTGTTGACCATCAGTTGATTAAACGAGACAACTTACAGAGAAAACAGGATAAGGCACTATCCCGTATGTAAGGAGATCCGCAGTCTCAAATCCGACATCTAAACACGGATTTTGTAGGGCAAATACCGACATTAAACTTTTCCAGATGGTTCACGTTGTAGCGTCCCAAGGCTTCCCATAGGGTAGGAGAAGGCATAAGTAAGGTTAAAATACATGAATTCGTGAGAGGACACGGCAAATGGGGCCTGAGCGTGGCCCCAAGGCCAGCCCGCGTGTACAAGAGTCAGACAAATTCTAGGGTGACCGCCGAACATCAGGTAGTCACATAAAAAAGCATTACACACGTCAGTTCGCTTCATTTGTTAACAGTCTGTCTGTAGAAGACAGGACGAAGATGAAGCCAAATGCAGACATCAGCGTCAACCCTTTCTTTGTAAAGAATTTAGAGACTTTTTGCCGCTGAGGTAAATGCGCCTGCTCCACACCGTAGATACTTGCAACGAACAGTATGTGCTAGGATAGAAGTCATTAAAATATGTCGAGTTTGCTTTCCGCTGCCTCCTGTGTAGCGTCCCGACACTTCCCATAGGATGGAAGAAGGCAGTAAGTGTGGCCAAATAAATGTATTCCGAAAAGAACAGAGCGAATTGCCTGAGCATGGCCCGAAGCACAGCCCACGAGTACAAGGGCTAGACCAATCTTAAAGTGACCACTGAGCGTTAGGTAGTCACATGAACGAAGCATTACAATCCTAATAATCAGACACTTCAAATATACAACCTCCTTTTGTCTTAGCTTCAAGTGGGTGTGTTAAGCACGAGCTTCACTTTAGCAACTTCCTGGACTTTGAACTGTAAATTCTTTTAAGAGATTGCTTTTGCTAACTACCTATTTTGATTTGTGATTTTAATTATCTCGCAATCGTACATATAACTTATTGCCCCAATAATTCGGAACTTAATTACAAACCACTAGATCGCATGCGCCAATTGAATACTGATTAGATCTTACTGCTGTCTTCACTTATAGCCTATCAAGGTTTGTTTCTCGAACCAGAATTTTCCGCGCTCTTCTGAAGTGCGCCAACGACCGTTATGTTTTCTGAAGTTTCGATATTCCTGTTTTCTTTTTCGAAACATCTTTATATGTTTTGAGTACCTGGCCTTATGCATTTATGTGAACATTTACTTTTTTCACGAGATATTTCGGTTTTCTGTGTGCTGTCTCGAAGTAATAATCTTTCTTCATACTACCTCCGGACTCTTTTCTTATAGATGTCAACTTCGGCAAAACTGAATATCGTCATCGGTACACATTACCCCCACCATTTCATAATTTATATGATTCAGGTGGTGGTACGGGCCTGATCGGGAAGGCTTTAACCTCCAAACTCTTATCCAGAAACGCCAGTGTTCGCATTATTACACGTAACCCCAGGCACAATAAGGACATGTCTTGGGTAAGAATTCCCAAATATTATTTCAAAAACATCAGGAGACTGTGGAATCCTGCGGTTTACCCGAAGACACGGATGTCATCATAAACCTAGCTGGCAGATATGTTGGCGAGGTCAGCCCAGGGCTACTCATTCCTAGGTTTATTTGAATTCAAGAGTTAGCACTTCAATATTAGTATTAGGCAAGAGTTCCTTCGAGACGTCTGCTTAAGTCGTGTGAGGACTACTCAGATTTTGGTGAATTGTATCCCCAAAGCCACGAAAACATTCATAAACGCTTCAGCCGTCGGTATGGTTACATTTGTTGATTAAATGCTGTTATTACCGAGTTCAGGTTTTTACGGACCCCATTCCTCACATTGCTATACCGAAGATGATTCTAGTGTTGACAACGGTTTTCTGGCTCGTCTCGTCCGCGAATGGGAAACCGCATGTTCTAGCACTCGACTAGAAGGTGTTAAACGCGTTCTTGTCCGAATCGGTAACCATTTCTCCCGAAAATAATTAAATTTGGAAGTTACTAATCCGATTAAAGATCCTTGTGAATTTGAGTTCAGGTTACCGTTCACTCCATCTAATGAACAGTTATTTTCTCCAAAGGACTGCAGCCATTTGTGCTCTTTTAGGTGTTGTACTTTCGAAGGATGGAGGATTTCTGTCACGGCTTTACCAGACTCACCGTCTTGGCTTAGGTGGTCCGATTGGCAGTGGACAACAGTGGATCTCATGGATTCACATTGATGACCTCGTCAATCTCTTTTGCTTTCTGATCATGAGCCCCGCAGGTGCGTCTGAGTGTTATGCATTATCTCGAAGCAAAAATCGCGCTTCGTACTGTCAAACGCTAAAATTAAAATGCAGCGCTTCAGACTAAAATCAGTTCTTTTTCGGGTCATTATGACCAGGACACAATCAGCATAATTCGGACGTTTAAAAGAAACGATTCTGACCGACTATCCTGTTTAAATGGCTTCAGGTAAGCATCTGTCGGATGCAGTGAACGCCACCGCGCCGTACCCCGTCCGTCAGGGTGCATTTTCGCACGCGCTCAGTGAATCACTGAGCGCCCCCTTTGCCGGTGGCCACATTTTTACTCCGGCCTTTATGGTTCGCGCCATCATGGGGAGGGAACGTGCACCACTGCTTCTCGAGGGTCAGCGGGTACTGCCAGCCAAAGCTCAGGAGGCTGGCTTTAAGTTCAACTACCCTACACTAGAGTTGGCATTGGAGAACATCTACGGCAAGCGACCACGACCAGTTTCCACTTATTGAGGGTTGCATAATGCAATTTTGCTATTTTTGGTCACGGGGATTATTTTCGTCAAGTATATTAAATTTGCGTCAAGCGTAGTTGTTGCCTCTTGCGAGTTAAAGCGCTGTTGTTGTTCATATACAAACACTTTTATTTAAGGGAAATCATCTCGTGTCGCATTAACAAGTGCCCCCACGCAGGTTAGCTAGGTGTACACGGGTGAGTTTGTTAAAGTTTTGAAAGACGATGGAGCTATAGTTTCAAAGCCAGACGCCCGGGAGAAGGAGAGAATTACTGTCTTGATACTTCCGCGTTCCTGGTGCTGAAATCCTGAGTTGGCGCGGCGGTGCCTTAGGGCTCGATTCCAAGAAATAAATCCAACCTTCAGAGTCGATAATGTAAAGGGCGGAATCCGTATGGGTCTGATCAGCGGGCCTCATGGTAGATACTGATGATGACGGGACAAATGACAGAGCGATTACAGGACATGGTGAAGGTTGATCCAACTAAGAAACGGAAAAGAAAACAAATATGTGGTGAAAGCTCACAGACCTCAGCTCTGGTTTCAAAATGTGGACTGATCGCAATCCATTAATTTCAATACATAGACGGTGTGCTACTAACCCGCATGACAGAGACAGTATTAAGAGTCCAACTGCTGAGCCAAATAAGGCAGCCACCTGGACCACCGATGAGGATACAACCAACTTGACAACCTTGGTGGTGGGAAAATACGATAGGCAGATTGTCGTGCGAGTTAAAATAGGGATATGAGTCGGTGTTGGTCGTAAATCCCGTCTCAGCTTGAAAATCGAGGATTCTGCTACAGCTCTGCCGGCAGTCTGCCGTGAACAGCCCAATCCAGGTCTCTGTAGTGGAGGGAAGGATGCATTGAGAAGTAGAAGACCGAGAATGATAAAGCAACGCAGAAGATGCCGGATATGAAATGTTGTTCTCGCGGCAAAATGGGTACAAGGCGTGAATGAACTGTTTGTATTTATGCTTCAAAGTAGATGCAGAATGAACGGAATTTACCGTGAGATCCAGCAGGCCCGGTTCGAGCTACCAAAAGATCACCCAACGTTTGATCAAAGGCCAGACCACAAACTCTCCCAAAAACGCCACTGTCTTCGTCCATTTCCAAAAGAGCAATGAATGCTGTGGAGGCAAGATCCCAGACAACTACACGACCATTTGTATCTCCGCTGGCAATCAGTCCGTGTTGGACACAAGTGTCAACGCAACTGACGTTGGCGCCTATGTGACCGATCAGATATCGCCAACCCACGTTCACATGGGAGGAGGAGAGGCGTACTTTTTTATCATTTCGACCTCCGCGCGCCTTCGAGTAATCGTCAATGAGATCATCAAAGCTGAAGAGACCTTCGGATGAAAGCGGAATATGTTGATATAGCTGAAAGGGATGAAATGGATTTCTCCTAATATTGGCCACCTTTGAGCTACAGAATTTACGGTTTCCCGCATATATGGCATAACTACTCTATCTCGATAGAGGCATAAATGTAAAGTGGAGATTCATCAGAGCAAATGGTCTGGATTGGAGTAAAGCTTTATCCACGAGTCAGCAAATATAAGATACACCGATTTCTATAGGCGAAGAATGTGAGAACTGGTGCCACGAACTGTCGCTAAGGCAACAGTCGAAAGTGTGTGGTTCTTGCCTGTCGTTCGTCGTTGTCGTCACTAATGAATCCACAGAGGACTTCTTTGGTTGACAGCGTTCGGGCATAAAGCCCCCCAAAAGAGGTTACCACGAGCAAATGGATCTGGGCGTTGTGCGAAAGGGGCTTTGCATCAACGGAAGGAGCAGCAATAAAAATTGACGCTTGCTCCACAAACGGCACTGGTATAGTAGTGGAATATAACTCAAGCCCATCAACAAAACGCCTGGCAGTCAATGTAATTACATTGGAGAGAAGAGTAATTTTGACAAGTAAAAGAGGGTAGGAGGGAAGACGAAGGAGAACCAGAGAAGCACGGGAATCTGTGACTAAAATGGTCCAAGGAGCGTAAGGTTGCTCGGAAGAGTTGCTGCGAAGGCGGTAGGGTCGTGAGCCGCCTTGAAGGTTAGCATACCAGCTGATTCCGAGCTGAAAAATGCATGATGATCCGGGTTAGAAAATAAAATACTGTTAATCCAAGGATTATAGATGGCAGAAAGAATTAAACTGTCGGTTTTTAAGTGCAACAGACCTGAAAAAGTATCCGATTCCTAGTTTCTTAAAGTACTCCAAGTTGATTATTCCTCCAGGAGCATCTTACCAGTTGCAAGCTATACGACACAATCCGATTAGCAGTATAATGTTACATTTTATCGGATCCAGTACAAGTGACAAATACAGGTGGCTACTGTAGCAGGATAAAATAGCATTTTCAAGGTCTGGGATGTTGGGAGAAAGCAATTTCGAGGATACATCCTTTGTGTTGAGCATGCTCTTGACAATCTAAACCCTAGTTATGCTAGCCAGACTTCAACAATTCTCAATTGCTCATTTGGAAAAACAATAAAAATAACAAAATTGGTTTTCCTTACCGGCTCCAATTGAGGGCTTCCAGCCCATTTACCCCAACGCAGTCCCTGCACAGTGTCCAATGGCGCACCGGCAGTGAGTGGAACTGAAGTAGCTGCACTTATTCCAGGATTTGACCAAGGCTCCTCCTCCTCCGTTGTCAATGGCTTGACCATTGCAATCGGCGAATCGACCACTGATTGGAATGATTGAAACTCGTTCTCCTCGGCTCTGCGAAGCATCATAGTCGCTTGCTGACGCGAAAGAACGTAGCGAATTATTCGGGAGAGATTGAAGAAATCAGAGTATCTGTGGCGGTCTGTAGAGGTTTTGACGGTGATAAAGGAGGTGGTTCTTCGAGGATGAGGATGATTTGGAAACAATTGGCGTGGTACTTGGCCGTAGTTACGGATCATAGACTCCACAGCCCCACGTCGCAAAGGGTCCTCAATGTTTTCAACGTCAATTGCCCCGAAATACGTCTGAATAAGCATTAATATAGGGGGTTGTTCTGCGGCTGCGAATTTGGAACAAGTTAGTTTATCTGAAACAATTTTTAAACTAATGAGGAATAAATTTGTACTTTTACGATTATTGCTTCCCAGATGTAGACTAAGCAATCATAGAGGATATAAATACTAACAAATGGATGGTAGAGATTAATGGCGCGTTCACCCCAACGACCGGTTTGTTTATAGCCAAAGACGAGATCAATCCACTCGGGTAGGTGAGCAGTAACGTAAGAACTTTCCAAGGCAGCTCGGTTAACAAGGACAAAGAGACGTGGATCACCTTTAGCCCAACTACAGGAAAAGGAAAAAAAACTTGACTTCCAAAGCAGAACCTGCAAAGTTCCACTCCACAAACAGGAGTAATTATTTGTGAGTTCGTTAAAATGGGGCTACTGGAACCGCGATTGAAGAGTCCCAAGAAGGATCTGAGGTAGCCTGAAACACTCAAGCCTATTTAAGACTTACGGAGGTAGCTTGACCGAATCGACGATTTCTCCATCATGTCGAGCGCCGAGTTCAAAGTTTTCACAATTGATAAACATGTCTGGTCGAAAGTAGAACTCGGGAACCAATTCCTTAGCAAAGGCTGTGGAACTCGTGGTTAGTGACCACTCAGAAGCGACCGAATGAAAGAGGCGATTAGGGTCGTCAAAATTTCCATCTTAAACACAGAAGGAAACGGTAAATATTTGATTGAATGTTAAGGTAGTTAAGCTTCCACGACCAGTTTAATTTACAGGGTAAACCTAATTGCTTTGCCCCATAACAGCAAAATATTCGCGTTAAATAAGTATTATGGTGGGAGAAAGGCAATCGGTAGCATTTAATTTTCGCAAAGCGTTGAGATTAAAATTCACTAGTAATTGGTAACAGATAAGATTGTTGATTCAAATGCTGGTAGCCACAACAATAAAGTAAGCTTATCATGCGGCTACAAGGAAAGTTCACCTTGGAATTGTATTAGACGAAAGGCATACGGGATGAGACGAAAGAGGAGATGTAATGTGATAGCTTCGTTTGAGCAGAATGAAGGGTAGTGAAAAATGGGACAAAACAGTGTTCTCTGGTCTTCCCCAACAGCAACATCCAGCTCCAGCTGCTGCGCTTTCATCTCTTCGTAGTGCCTTGAAACATCTCTTATGCGAGACTCTGTTTGCACCGAGATGGGTCGATCTAGGCGTCGAAAACTAATTGACGGCTTCTCGAGATCAAGCACCTCACTTTCATAATCCTACCAGAAGAGAAACACAAAAACGCCTTCCATATCCAATTCGACTCTAATAATGTAAATGAATAGAACAACAGACAGCGTTGAGCTAAACTTTTTTAGGCATGAAGCCTATGAGCACTGCTGTTTTAGCTAGGTGAGAGAGATGAGCGTTTAAGGTACCTTAAAATATTTCATAATCTTACGGCAATGATCCAGGGGAAGATAGGGTATTGTGTAATATCATTGTATGTCCTTCCAGCAGCAGTGTTGAGTGCCATTATGTAGTCAAAGTTTGATATCTGACCACGGAGCCAAGCGACTTGAGCGTCGAGAAGGCGAGCACGGCTGATGGGACCAACAAATGGCGTAGAAAAAGGTGTTACAAGGATATCGCAAAGGTCTCGCAATGAGAGTCGCTGCCCTCGACTAGATCTGACAGACGTAGCTTGGCCGAGGACAGTCATCCGCCGTCCTGCAGGTATCCGCCACCATTCATCGAGTGGACGAGTGCACAACGAACCACACGCCTCCACCAGACTCCGAATAAAATGGTCGCGTTCCTTTGGACAGAACAGATATCCATGTTGGGAAGCATTCTGGTATCAAAGGACTGGTGATGAAGCCGATTAAGGTTTTGGAAGACAAAGTCAAAAACTAGATACTTTGGATTTGTCGTGTGACTGCTTAAAGAAAGAGAAGTGAATGGAAATCACCTTGTTCGAACAAAAAGCTATCATTATAGGCGGCATGTTACAAGCACGCTCGAAGAAGAGCTCCAGAGCAAGATCGCGAAGTTCAAAACGCCTCTCTTCCACGCGTGTGATTGTACGTAGGGGACAAGCCAGTACTTCCTTCTGGCTGTCTTCCCCACCTAAACCATGCATCAGTGCGCCAGTGCAATGCCTATTGCGCTATAACGGAAAGGGTTGACGATAAAGTAAATTCGCATACATGCTCGCCGTCTCATCATGTAACAGGATAAAAATACAAAATCATGCTGATTTACGAAGTTGAAAAAGAATTGTAGATCCAAAACATTATGCTGTTGATTATGGTAGCAATTATTTGAATCAGTGCACGGAATCTATTCAAGATAACAGCAGTTTAGTAGAGCTTAACGCTGGAATAAGAACCTGTGAAATGTACTCACTTATGAAGAACACAGTTTATTTCGTCAATGAACCCACCATAGTAAACTCCAACAATTCCTTGTCGTTGATAACTAGACGGATCCAGTTGGCATCTAGAGTGAGATCTCCATTCAGCGGAATAGAATCAGAGATTCCGACTAGTCGACACGACCAGACGCCGAGACACCGGTCTGAGAATGCAACTGGCGGCGGAAAGAGAGCTTGACAAGAGGGTGGAAACTGGATGTGTGGTGTCAGGAGGCAGCGCTTCCTTGCCAGTCCTCTAGCCGGGGTGTAGGTCGATTGGTGCATCATCAGAGGACTCAGCGGATGACTCTTAAGATATTGGCCTTACAGCCACCCAATAAATAATTTTGGTCGCATTAATCTGTAATTCTCAGGCCATGGCAAAAATTATTCAAATAGGTAGTGAAATACAAACTTTACTCATTGGGTCTTTAACGTGAGTCAGTGCCATTGAAGCAAAAAGTAAGAATAGTCATTGGCATCTATCACAACGCACCTAAAGCATTTACAGACGGCGATCTCACAAAACGATCGTCAATCCAAATAACCACTGGCCGTCGTCGACAGCGCCGTCTCGACTCATCTTCAAAGGTGTCAACGTGTGAAAAGGCAGGCTTTAGGGCCCCGACGCAAAAGACGGAACTGTAGAAGGGATGAAGGAGTGTAACTCTCTATCATGATACAAAAAAGTGGGTTTAAAATATTCTGCTTTTTACCATTCATGACCCATAGCACCACTTAGCTGCATCCAGTAGAACGGAGCCACCACATCGAGGATGTGTCTATGCTGGGAGACGAGCATCGACCATTGGTGTTGACTCTCCTCATTGGCTCCCCGTAGTGGTGAGAGCCAATCAAATTGATCAACGTGCAACGGAGGACAGAGATTCAGCTCAGAAATCTGGAGAATATCCAAAATCGTGTCTCACCTTTGCTAATTTTAGCGTAAAATGGTTACATTTGCAAAAGAGATTTGCATTCAAATAAGTAATTTAGCATGGGAAGAGAAGAAGCGTGCACTTGTGCCAAATCGTGCTTGTAGGGCAGTAGTTCAGGATCAAAAATCAATTTATAACTGTATTCAACTAGAGAATCTGAAGTCATCTTCTGACCAGTATGTTTCCTCATGCTAACCAAAGAATACCATCATCTGAACGTACGGGTAGTGTGGGAGTGGGTATCGCAAGTTGGGATGATTTTTTCGGAATGTGATCGAAGTTGGAACACAGCTTTTCCACCCACTCGAGCAAAATTTTCACAGCATTCGAGACCTTATCATAATCGATTTTCCGTCTTGCAGCTTCGTCATGGTCGCCTACAAAGTCATTTCCGTATGCGCTATAAGTTAACGGTGTGTCTTCGTGTGTTCCTCGATTGCACTCGAGTGGTTTAGGTTTCTTCGGTTTGATCGAAAAGACGGCCTCTAACATTTGAAGATTATTCCTCAGTTCAATGAGAATCTAAGAGAGTAGTAAAAAAACTAAAAGGATGCGAAAAAAGCAAAAACAAGACTTTCACCATTCACCACAAATTGTATAAATTTGGCAGGAAGCACATACATTAGAGTAGTAAAAAACTGCCCCATGTTGGATGATGTCGGGCTCTTGGGAAAGGAGGGTTAAAAGCCAAAGACCCGTAGATGAAATCGTAAATGTTTCCAACAAAGCTTCACACCATGTGTGCAACAGACGCATAAGACTGCTCGATAGTATGGGCCAAATCGCATCTCCGGTGTTCCGCTAAATGAATGAAAAATATAGACGCAAAGGCTTAACCACTTCAACTGAAAGAATTATCAATCCATTTTTTAAATCGAGTCGTTTTACTTAATTGTGCTGAACTAAAAACAAAAAACCTTGCCCTCCACTCCCGATTACAGCTCCAGCCAAAAGGCGGACGTAAGTACCATGGCATGAGACGCAGAGTTCACAAAGAGAGTTATAAGGGCCTTCTCCAGTAGATGAATGATGGGAAACTGTGGGCATTCAAGACTTGGTGGATCCGCAGTCAATGATTCAAGAGATGTCGCCGATCCTAAATAGTAATAGAAAAGCATGACAAATTCAGAAGAGAATTTCCAATGATTGCGGATCCTGAGTAGATCTATTCGTGGTTCGAAATGCATATTTCCACAACAAGATATAGAAAAAAAAATGGTTTCATTCCCAAGTCTGGAACCGACATTCCACGTTATCAAAAAAACTGCCAACTGGTCTATCCTTAATTAGAGATAGGAAAATTCAGGAATCTCAACAAGAACAGTGCACCTTTGTAAAGAAGAGTATCTTCAACTGCAACTGCCGTCCAACAGAGTTGCGATAGGAGAGATTCCGTGTCCGATGCATCTAAATTTCATATAAAAGGTAAATAATGTGACAGTAAAACTGCTACGCCAAGGGAGCTAAACCGTACCTCCATTAAGATCCTTGAGGATGCGTCCAGATAATGAGAGTAAGACACGAAGAAGAGCCTCACGAACAATGCACATCTGGTTGGAGGCTAAATAAAAGAACGGCCAGATGAGTAATTACATTCATTTCTTTACCTGGACGGTCCTTCCTGTCGATGGAGTTGCCACCGAAACGTAGATGAGAAATTATCCCTTTGGCTTGACCAAATGTAACCCGATCCTTGGCTCTGGAGATGATGGAACTCAGTAGACGAGAAATCAAGTTCCCAAGCTCGTGAAATCGTTCAGTGTAGGCGTTGGTACTGACAGCTTCCGAACAAGTGGATTGGAGAAAGAATACCATTTCCAGGAGAATGTACAGGGAAAAGGAGTTGCAAAGAGAAATTAGAAAGTCAAAATCCGCCTGTAATGAAAAGGGAAAGATGGGAAAATAGCTACACCTAAACACATGAAAAATACCTTTACAAAGTTGAAGAAATTTGAGAGAATGTCGAGGCATTCCATACACCGATTGGTTTGTTCCACTAATAAAGCTTTCTCAATTGGTTTTTCATTGCATATCTGCCGGAATGATTCAATATCCACCAAAGAAGACGCAATAACTGCCAAGGCAATAGATGCGGGAACTACGACGCTCTCTGCAGCCTGAAAGTGACATCCAAATACAATTGTTCACAGTTGCTATAAAGACATTGTATAAATACAGTGGTCATAGGCAAATTAATAGACTGTGAACTGAACACTACATTTTGCAGAAATATGTAGCCTGATCAGAATACATTCAAAGAGAATGAAATGTGTTAAACCGGTGTTCAACGATTTGGGAATAAAAAATTTGATTTATGGGGAAAAAGAGGCCAATAAGTTGACTGAAGCAAGCAAATGTTATCGGTTTGATCAAAAGGTACGGTATTGTAATTAACCTGATTTGGCTTCGTGTTGACAACTGAATCGAGGGTTTTGCACGCAGAAGAAAGTAACGATTGTGAAGTCAAAGCGAAATGTGCAAGAGAGACAAGGGAGCAGCCACCTGGATCTAATACACATCTGGCGGCACACCGCATCTCCGTCACTGACGAGCAGTACTGAAGCGTAATCGAGGAAGTGTCCGAAAGGAATTGCATTGCCAAGACGCGGTCAGAGATCGAAGAGTGGCACATTTTACAATCCGACTGCACGCTCAGCAACGTCATATAAAGAGACAAGGCCTTGGAAACAAGAAGAAAACATTGAAGTAGTTCGTTTGTGAAGCTGGACACCGAAAGAACAGATTTGCTGTACGAAGAGCACCAAGTGATAACCGTATTTAATGCAAGACGGTATATTAAACCAACAAAAGTTAGTCATTGGAAACAAACAAATTGATGGGTTAATCACAAACCACGAGGATAATGATGCTCAAAACGAACATGATGAGACACAGAAATCTGATTCCCAGACCCATTTATGTAATTATACGCTTGTGGTGACACATACGGAAAAAGTATATCTAGAAAGGTCATGACTTGTTGTGATGCAGAGCGTATTTTTTGCCACTCACTGACAACTTCAACTATGATGCTAGATAAAAATCGGCTAGCACGCCTTGATATACTACTAATTCATACAATTTACCTCTTTTCAATACGGTTCAATTCGTTGAAATCAAGTGTTACATATGAGTGTGAGCAAACCACGCTTAAGGCAAAGATTAATTACGTGTTCACGAAATTTGACGCAGGGATGGCAGCCGAGGTGGTAAATGAGCCAGAATGGAGGAATTAAAAGATTCTTTTCTAGCTCAGCTCCGACAACAGCTCTTGCTGTTGTCATTTGCCAGAATTGGGTAAGAGCGGACAGCATCAAAGCGGCAAGATGATGCCTTTGAGAGAGCTGAAGCGGAGATATTACCGGTGCGTCAAGGTCAGTGGTAGTAAAATAACACTGCTTCTCGTAAGGACCTGTTTCACCATTGGTCAAAGAAGTGGAAGCTTCTGTAACGGACTCTAAAAAAGGATCACGATCAGAAATAATATGTCTATTTTAGATTGGTGATGTACAATTGTCAACGAACTTATATCTGTTAAAGCAGTATTTTACTGGTGACCAGGTAAATTGGAGAAAGTATGCGCCATTGATTAGAAAATTAAAAAAAAGGAAAAACTAACAAAAAAATAAGGAAATGTTAATTCTTAGCTTTGATTTCAAATAGATTCTGAAAAAACAAGGTTGCGCAACTGAAAATAAATCCACATAACAGTTTTCACAAGTAAAAAAACAACACGCACGTGACGCAAATGAGGAAGACTCCGACACTGACATCGAGATATCAGGTAAACTGTGATACCGTGTGAGCAAAGAGCTACGCCCACAGCCGTTTTCTATTTCCTCTTCGACTGCATCAAGGTTTCCGAAATCCAACAAACTGTTACACGAGCCGAAGAGAGTGGATGATAGACTAGAATCACTTTGGTCACAACCAGAGAGAATGTTTTCCCGAAATTTAGCCAGAGTAGCAGCCTCAGCCTCGCTTACACCCTCTAGAGTAAGGAGGGGATGTAGAGGGATTAAGGGAAGTGATGTAGTAACACTCAAGGGTGAAGACGGATGCTGCTCAGCACAGTCTTCAGAGGATTCATTAGTTAATGCTTGGAAAACTTTTGCCTTTGGGACCACGGCCTCATCTATAAGAGGAAAAAACAAAGACAGTGCTCAATGTGCGAGAAATATAGCATGCCTGAAAATATATATAACTAAGAAAACTCACATTGAAAAATGATTGCGATGAGAGGGTCAAAGCCCTCAACTGTCAACAATTTGGGAAAAAAATGCACTCGAACACAACTTTTAAAAATAAATGAGAAAACTGCTGCAAAGTTAATCAGAATTGTTGAAGAGGCTAAGGGATGTAAATGATTAACTTTGAGCAGATGAAATGCTAAATAATATTCAAATAATTTCAAACTTTTGAAGGCAAGTGGCCGCACCTCCTTAAACTTCAGGTAAATGACTTACTAAGTTCAGTAATGAAAAGCATCACCAAATAAGTAAATGTAGGCACCTCACCTCGTTTGATTGAGGGAGCGGCACTGAAGGTAGAGATTGCCACACCTCTAAGGAACCTTAGGCGAGATCGAGTAAGGTCCACCAAATCCACAGCCAGGGAAGTATCGCGCGCCTTCGATGCGAAGGCGCGTGCAGCCGCACAGTGGTACAGATCGGGATCAACTGAGGCCAATGTTTGCAGCAGGAACGTGAGAAGGGCAGATGGTGGAGGAGAGACGACTAGACGTCGAGAAAGCAGTCGAGAAAGTGATTCACTTGTTGATTCGAAGGCTCGATTAACATCCTCAGAGCCATCCGATGTGGGAAAGCAAATCTGAAGCAAAGCGTTGGAAGAATATCATCCATCCTTGGTCGCAATCGTAAACTTCTCTACTTAAAATAATTTAAGTATTGAAGCGACTCATTTCATTCGTACAAGGCTATGGTGGTGTACTTATCATGAACAGTGAAAGTAACTAAAGCACTGACTCATGTCGCATAGATGAATATTTACAAATATCATGAGTTGAAGGACGAAATCACGCCAATAAATGTGGAGATTTAGAAGATTTAGGAAAAAGTTATTGTGATTTTTCTTTGTACCCATTTACCATGCGAAATACGAAGGAAACTTCGTTGATACAGAAGTATAATTTAAAACTGCATCGCACTCTCCTACGCCAAAATGGCATTAAAGCAAGGAGAGGGATGGATCGAAAAAGCTATTTGTGGGAACTTTACCCGAAAGCTAGTAACTGCAGCTTCAATCAGTCGAGATCCGTCCACACTTGCAATATTGCAGGCCAAGATTTGGTTGTGACTCCCATTTGCATTAACAAAGCAATCTCCAACCGCACTGAGTATGGCTGGAAGGCTCTCCAGAGATGAAAACATTATTTGGCAAATGACTAGCTCGGGATCTATCAGGAGATGGACTTTTTCATCGACAACTTTCACATATGCGTGTTTTACGAATATCTGAACGGGATGGAAGCCTTATTTATAAAGCATGTTAAGGTGTATTTATTTTTAGCACAAGGGGAAATTTGATTACCTCATGCAATGCGAGACTCAACCGCCTCAAACAGACTCGATTTATAAGAGAGGTCAAAAGACATAAACCATAGTTTGTTATGTGCAAACGGTCAAAGGCGTCAGGAGAGCATTGGGAAATGAGTTCCTCTGATAGAGGCCGATAAAACTTTTCGGCGGCGACGATGGAGTGCCTTGTGAGAGTGAGAACGAAGTCGAGAGAGGCTGCAATCATCTCGGCGTCAGTATCAGATGCGCAAGCAGCCTAAGAAAGCAAGCAACATATTTGACGACTGCAATGAAGGTTCAAGTGGCGAAGACCGTTGTCAGCACGTCCAGCCAAAGGTTCATAAAGGGCTACCCGAAAGTCGATGGTAAAGCGAATTCCAGACTATCTTATATTTCAAAAGGCTAATTTAAACAGCAAGTGATACACATAGGTCACAAATTCCAAGGAAGACGTACTGTGCCAGCGAGGAAAAAGGCTAAGTCGATGCCGCCGATAGACGCGATGGCTGCATCAACGCTACACTTCGTCAGGCAGTTGATGCTCTGATCAGTGACTTCGACATCATGATTTGACGTAAGGTCAACCGCCCACAGTTTTGAATCAACTTGTAAAACTGGACCTCTCATCTTTTCACTGAGAATGAAAGTAGGTTAATGGTGGAAAAGAGACAGGGAAACAAAAGCGGCACAAACTTACTGGATTAATGAGGTAAAATCTGGGGAGGGTGAAGGAATAAGATGGTTTGGAGGAATCCGAATAGTCCACTTAACACTGGCCAATGATGGGTACCCAGTGGAAACCAAGAGGTTGCGCTAAAAATATTTACAATGATTTCATTCTCATTATGCCTTATTCCATCGAAAAAAAGCACAGCAAGGTTTGTGGTGATAGGACCACGGCTTACAGGACATGATAGTGAATGGGAATCTGAGAAACTCATTCGAAGTGCCATCTAGCTAGAGATTATGAAAATTATAGGCTTATCAACTCACACGGATTAATTTCTTCAAAGTGTGGATCCAAGGCGTTGTACTACCTCGAAACTGTGTCACAGCATCCAGGAGGCACTGTCCTCGCATAAACAAATCCCCTAATTCTCGTGGAGGAAGACGGAGAAGGAGAGAATTGAGATAGCAACGACCCCTAGCTGACAATGTAGGCCAGACATCTCTGGAGGAAGAGAGCAGATTGACAGTCCACAAGGGTCCACATAGAGCAAAGTAAAGAGCCAGTTCCCTTAACTTTGCTCGAGATCCTTCTGTTGATTTGGCTGGCGTTTGGGAGAGAATATCACCTGTGTCAACATTAATGAGGGTGCAAGGTTAGCAATTGAGCCATGGTAATAATACCAGAAAGTGATGACAACTTACCGGTGAATATATGAAATCCATTGGTAAGGATGTAAGATTCTTTCGAAATGGCATTCTTCGAGACTTCAAATGCAGCAGTTGCATGACCCATCCATAAGCTTAATAAACACATACTATTCGTGAATTGACGTCTGTGTGCAAGGTTAAATGCGCAATTCCTGCCCGGAATTTGAGAGGATGCCAAAGGAGAAAGTTTAATTGTTGATTCTGTGTACGTTGATGCATTGGTTGTGACGGATACCTAGGACAACAAAGGTAGTAGCTAGTTTGTTGCCGTTTTCATATACTAATGAATTAAGCTTACAATCCCCGTAAGATTCGCCTCTGAGTTCTTGTTCCACAGAATACTAAATAGCATATGACCCCAAAAGTTGGAAGTCAGAGCATCCGAGAGGTACGCGTCACCGAACAAGATAAACTCCGAAGAGTTCCTTTTGGAATGGTTCACCATACAGAGATCCCTTCGTTTGACACGAGTGTAAACACCCCTGGTTGAGGGAACTAACCAAACCTATTAAGAAATATTGACAAAATAATAACAAAAAAAGGGAGTAAGAAACTGAATGCCAAACATGCCTCAATGGACCAACAACTGAACGAAGAAATGGTCCGAAGATGAGATGCAGAAGCTGCATGAGCGCGTTCAGAGACAGGCAGTGAAGAGACCAGCCTCTGTGATTGCACAAGTGTCGGAGACTCCTCCAATGTAAATAGATGAAGCATTTCTCTTTGCAAAGCCAAATTAGCTAGTGTTGACTTCGATAAGGGAAAGTTGGCGTCAAACGATGAATCAGGGTCACCCGGAGTCTCCTGAAATTGAGTTGTTATTGTAAAACTTGTCTTTGAGGACTAGCTTAATAAAAGCTGCCGACTGAAGTGGAGTAAAAGGCGGATAAGGACGGGCAAACAAATGAAACGAGTCATTGCAAAGACAATTGCTTTGAACAAAAACAATGATGAAAATATGACTTCATTTGAATATTTACACTGTGTTATTAATCACAGTCATAAGATCATCGAAACGCCCACATATGCCAACCTCGCTGAGCCACAAACTCACAAGATTACGCATTGGTAAACAGAATTTGTTTCAAAAGTTTATGGCTTACCAAACACCGACAATCGAAACAGAACACAGGTAAATTATGAATGCAAAGACGTGAAATTCTAGGCTTTATTAATCCAAATCTCAGCATTACCAAAGCAATAAATTGTTGGCAATAAATTGTTGACTGAATGAATTTAAAGCCCGGAAAATAAACATTTTATGGCGTGGATTAAGAGAGAATCAACCTACAAGTTTGTACCACATCGATACTACCAACCCACATGAGCTGGAGTTAGATGTGGCGGTTGAATTCATGACGCCTACGAGTCGTCCGTCATGATCAACCGGATACTGATCGTTAGACAGAGGCCAGATCGTGGAGATGAGGGTTAATGGATAAGCGCAAGTAGGGTCAAACTGCCATTGATCAAGCGAGATACTTGACCGAACAAAGGCAAAGTTTTTGAACACTGAAGTATCATTTGGATCAACGGTTTGTGACTGGTCGAGAGTGGCAGGTGAAGAGAAGTTCAGGTACTGAGGCCATGCAAGGAAGCACTCAGGTTCCAAGGGGTCCGTGTGGCCTGACCATCCCACTAGGAGACGGACAATTCGCAACTGAAGGTGAGCGGTAAGAATTAAATCTTACCTTCAACCTACGAGAATTGGTTTTAATGGCAAGTTGAAGTAAACTGCTGAGTTGGACGGAAGTGATTTGGAACAGACGAGACAATGACTCATTTTCATTTCTAATACAAAAGAATTCAAGGAACTCAACAAGGAGATCCGGAATCGAATGATTGGAGTCTTCTGTAAGATTAAAGAATTAAAAAAACACTTTCCATAACCCTACCAATGGCTGATATTGTTTTCTGACTTTGTACAAGGGAAACAGACACAGTCTGCTAATAAAAGCGCATAAGTTGTAGCCCACTGGGACCAAACCATGCTTCCACATTTCTTTAAGTGAGGTAACGCAATTAAACTTTGTAGCTTCTAAAGGCACCAGATAGCTTCATGTTGTTTTTTTTACTAAGTTTATAAGCATACCATTAAAATGTATAGCGATATCTTTAACTCTTAGGGCGCAAAAGAGACGAGCCTGAGGTACGGGTACTGGGTTGAAAATACCACAACCACAACCACACTCTAGGAGCACCTAAACACTCATGTATAGCTCACAACTATCTACATGTTACAAAACTTCTTCAATGGGGATTTTATCAAATAATATGTAAACTTTTACAACCACCTTATGAACGCGGAGGCGTAATGAACTAGAATAATTCCAAAAACTAAAATTACGAAAATTGGTAGGTGTGAAATGTTTAAAGAAATTGTGCTTAGGCCCAAACCCACCATTCTGAGGCTGTTGGGAGTGCAGCAACTCCAGTACATCAGTAATTACGTTGGATATCCATGCCTAAAATTCACGCATTCAAAAAGTCTCAAAATAGCTGGTTAGTGAAATAAGGGTGTATGTTTAAAAACTCACTCTAATTTGATTGTTATTGACCGCAACATTGCCTATGAGGTCGTGTCTTCGAAGCTTAAGGACTTTTTGCACAAAACTTTTCAATGTATAAGGGTGAGCAGGTTTTCTGAGGTCACAGATACGCAAAAATCGATGGAAAATGAAGAAGAGAAGGTCAATGTGCTTTTGGACGGGTGAATCTTTGTGGACGTACATTTTCTTCTCCATATTCAGGTAGTAGCTTGGAGGAATGGATAGAGTCCTTACCTTTGGTTCTAGGATGAATTTTTGCTAATCGGAAAGGGATGTTACTTTCGAACATGTCTAATGGTTCGGAAATTTCATTGTGCTGTCCGCCTTCCTCGCCCACGGATAGCGAAGCGAGACGCTGAAGTAAGTTCAAGTTGTTGCAGTCAAGTGGAATATTCTCAAACACAGGATTTTGCGCCTAAATGGACTTTCAATTACTTGATGGACCAACCAACCCCACTGTAGAGGCCACATAACACTCCAATCAGCGAAACATGAAGGTTGATGGACGCATCAACCATGTCATCAAGTTGGCCCTCTGCCGCCTTCGTTAGTGAAAGAAGCAAAGAGCCACCAGTTCCGGTACGAAGAAATGGTTGTGACATCCAATGTCTACATTGTGGGTGAGACAAAACACGCCAAAGAGCAGTCCAGGCACTGATCCTGAGGTCAGAGTGGGTCGCCTTGAATACAATGAAAGGATGAGTTATAAACGCCAGTCCTTTAGATTTCATGATTGGTGAAAGTAAACGTATAGATATGAAACGTAGCTTGCATCCAACGGCAATTTAATTCAAAACAAGCATTTTCGACTAAGGAAGTGCCGAAGGAATGCGAAAAAATGCAAAACCCCTTTACATCGATATAGATAATTATGGTTCCCCATTGACCACAAAAAAATCATCATCACGCAAAGGATTCATTTGATTAAGGAAAACCAAAACGACAGACCTCCTCCCACAATGGCATGGCAAAGAGACGCTTTTGGTGTAACTCAAAAAGCACCATTGATACAGGAATGGATCGGATGCCTTATTTTGAGCGTTTGAGAATCAACTCCGAGTATTGAAGCACCAGAGGCAGGATAGCCTCCGAGGTAGTCACATTTGACGAGATTTTCACAGACATCGTATAAGACTTGCAGAATAAGAAAGAATCATGTGTTAAACACACCTCCGCCTACCTTACGATTTTTGGGCCTGGCAATTTCTGCACTACTTTAACTGGAAGCGTCCAAAGTGGCCTCCTTTGTTCACAGGAAACCAAAAAAAATTATGAACACTGAATGCGAGTGATTCAATGCCACAGGCAAAAAATATAGTGAGATTCCGGAACCTTAAAATAATCATCACACTCAAGCGCTGCCCTCTTTACGTGAAAGGAATTTACGATTGACAGGATCATTCAAATCTTTTCAGTTATTCTGCAACCGTTTTACACGATTAAAATTCACCAAAACAGCGTTTGTTAAGGGTTAATCAACGGAATCAATTATGACATAAAGCCAATTTATTTATAGCTAGTGTTTTATGCCCATTGAACATAATCATAATGGCCTACTCCGAACAAACCAGCGTACCGTTGCAGTGTGCATCACACGGAGCTGAAGGAACCCGCAGGCGAATGTAAGGCGACGTCGAAAAGAGATTGAGGCAGTGAACTTTGCTGACTTTCCAATGCTTAAGTCACCAATGGTCCTTTACCAGCGACGGTACCAAAACACTGCGACCGCATACCGCTCTTATTATTGATAAAATTCGAATAATTCTTGCCTACTGTGGCTTAAATTGAGTGAAGGTGATGGTGTAGTCGGGTAACTGTAGATTCTCAACCTAACTGCTGTCTTGAGGAATGCTACTTGCGGAAAAAATAATGGAGATTTGTCATGGCTTGTCACACCAACCGACCACAGAGGCCTACACACAAGCTTATCATTTCTTTATTTAAGCCAGTCAACTGCAATTGACGTCCGAGTGTTGCGATAATCTTAAACTACCAAACTTCATTACACTCAACACCTCCATTGGGGCATGGGGCGAATGTCAAAAGGCTTGTAACTTCCAAGCTTCAAGATTAGCAATGGTTTGGTAATGTCAAACCAACCAAATCGACTTTATACAATCACGACACCAAAGAGAGGAAACCATTAGAATAGATTTTTCCCAGCAGACTTCACTCGAACTCATCTAGCAACCCACCAGCGTTGTTTATAATTTGGTTTGAAAAATGCACATTATTATACATGTGTAGCCATGGCGGACCCCATTGTTATATGGCATGTTACGATCGACTTTATTAGGTGACGAGTTCCAGGGAGGGCTTCCAATCCCAAAATCAGAAAACAGAATAAAGCGGATTTCGATGACCAAATCTCTCGCAGTTACGCTGGAGCTCACAAGTTATTTAATTATTAATTTGTAAAAACATTTTGGAGTACTCCACGAACTGACGGACACTGGACCAGAACGACCCAAAACTCCGGAAACAGCTTGATTTAAACGCTATTAACAATGCAAGGAGCCACAATAAAGTGAGACAAGATGCTGTGGAACTTTATTCCACACAACTTTGGTCAAATTTAAGCATTCGATTCCTAAATGCGAGTTGGAGCGTAAACGACTAATTGGCGCTCATCAACATCTTTAATAGGAGTGAAAATTTTGGAGTTCCTTTCCAGAGTGCAATATTTATTGAGATAAACGCGAAGATGCGAAGTCCATCTCAGTTAATAATAAAACCTTCAAAGAAAGACGTACGAATGGTTCAGCTTGTACGCATCGAAGGACGAGTTGAAGGAAATTGAGTACAAGCGACTTAAGCAGAAGAGTTTTCGGGTCGCCACTGATATCACAGAAAGTCAGGTATGGTGGCCATAAAACCGAAGTGGAGAGAGTGAGGGAGTCGACAAATGCACTACAGTAGGCACAAAAGCAAATTTATGCAATGGATCATAGATAAAATATCGTAACAAAGTCGCACAAAGCCATCTCAATTTAGAATCCTACTTTCAGACAGTAAAATCTTACATAAGAACATGTGATAACTGCTAAAAGTTTTTATTTGGTGAGGCAACAAGTCCTCCCAATATTTGAACACTAGGCCGTAAAATCTCTGCATTAAACGCCTCTAAGTATAAATGGTAACCAGATAAAACGTCACATCCTGCAGACATGATACGTAGCCGCCACATTTGCATTTATAAGAACATTATTGAATTGAAGTAGATGACTGAATGTTGACAAGCAATTCATCAAAACGAGGGTATTATCAGACTAAGATCCCATATAAAAATGCACTATACCTAATCGTATTATTACTATGCACCTTCCTATCCGAACAACGAAATAGGTGGCAAAAAAGTCTTGGACGCGAAGAAAAAACCCCTATCAGATAAAAATATGGCTTCATCCGATGATACTACTTTAACGTACTTGACAACAGGCATCATGCTAGCCGCTGAAACGGGTGCATTGAGGATGACATGATTAAGATGAGGGAGGGCATCAGAAGCCGTTTGAATTGCCTCTAGCTCCGAGAGATCACCGACCAAACGGATGAACGAGGAAACAAGCTCGAGGGCTAGGGCAATCTGAGGTGTGCTGACCATTCGAACGGAAATCAGGTAGGGACAAATAAAAGACTGAAGCAATGCATACCGGAAGCGGCAAGCTTAAGGGGAAAAATTAATACAGTTATAATTCGTTAATGACCGAGGATACGCGTAGATAATCTAGAATTATTCGACTCTTTGGTTGCCCAAAAAGAAATATAAGAATCAGAGCAAGAAAACCAAGTATGATGTAGTTTAATTATAACTCAATTTGATGATACGGTGAGCAAATGATTACCACGTGCACAACATAAAAAAGCACATTGAAGGAAATGAACCCTACCCGAAGGAGATCTACAAGCGACCTCAGAAAACATCCGAATGATGAAGACAACATCCTGATGGCCCAATTTATTTTCTTCAACATCATTAAGGCTCTCTAAGTAGGGATTGAGAAGTTCCGCTAGTACGCATAAATTCGGTTGGCTGTTTGCGTCACTTTCGAAGATCTCAATGTATGAACCCACCAAAACATGTACACAAGCACGATTTATGCGATGACGAAGTGGAGCAGAAATTTTAATGCAGAGCCAAACAAAGGAATTGGCTGAATTTGTGGGAAGAACTCGAATTAGTGAAGAGAGAACGTTTGGAGTTCCGATCGTCAGAAGTCGAACAAAGTGATGGATAATTTTCGGTTCGTTGCTCGATTGGATCCAAAAAGCCAGATCATGAAGCAAGGAGACTACGGCGGCACTTTGAGAATGGTTTTCTAAGGATGCGCAAACAACAGCAAACAAAGCAGCCAGAATATCCTCGTAATACGTTTCCAAGAGAGGCTGAAGACATTTAAAATCACAAAACTCGGATTCCCAGACACTCAAACTTTGAGGCGTAATGCGAGCAACGAAGTGAAGCGAAATTAGAACGTAGTCCAATGCTACAACAAAATGGCCTGCAGATATCAAATGCTTTCCCATTCGACAAAGACGACGAAGTAAATTGTGCGCTTTTGGCGTATAGGAATTGATCTCAGCAGAGTGAGTAGGGACAGACACCATTAGCATATTGATACATATAGCATTGTTTTGATAATTTAAACTAAAAGTAAAAAAAATCCTTCGTGCAATTGATACACAAAACGTATATGACCTAAGTCCAATTTCGATGACTCACACAAGAGGATCAATTTCAGAGCAACATTTTGAAATCTGCTCAGCTGCATGGATAAATACTTCAAGTAGTGCAAGAATATTTGACAAGTGAGAAGGAAATTCAGCAATGTACTTCCATATCCAAATATTGATTTTCGTTACAAAAATAAGCAGTACATAATCCAATCGAGATCCTAAAGTAATCGACCTTTGCCAAAGGAGAAAACTTGGATACGATAAGCAACACAGATTGAACACACCAATTTTGTCAGAGGGGTCGTCAAAATGCACCAAGTACCTCAGAAAAGGATGAAAAAATTCGTTCAGAGGATCCCCGAATTCAAAACAAGAAATTGAGCCAAGATCAGAAAGCCAGTCATAACGAATTTTGATGCCTAAAAAGTCTGATGTTAAACTGATGAAAGTGGAAGAAAAGCCAGTGTAAAAAGGAAACATACCGAGCGCAGGGGTAGATCTTCCAAAATTTTCCACGACTAATGCCAGAAAACCACTTAAAGCGTTTTGGAGCAAAACAATCTCGTTTGTGATGGCTTCAGGTGTGGTTGACTGGCTCAATTTTGAATTTAAGTAAGACCCCGAACCTAGTTTACTGCACACAGCATGCAATCCTTCGCATAATTCACGGGGATTCTCAACGCAAACTGCAAGAGGAGATTCGGTAATGAGTACCAACAGCTCTCGAAGAGTAAAGTCACGGAACATTACAGCAACAAATGGTCTATCATAAATTCGAACTAGACTGGATCAAACCCGCATTCCACTCCCGGCAACGTAACACGCTATCTAAGTGCCTCGAGTGAATGGCAAAAGTAATGTCAACAAGAACGGCTCGAGGTAGTTGCAACGACGTCGCCCGCAACACACTAAACTAGGCCAGGACTGCACCCAATGTCATACCACCCGCCAAAAAGTAAGCGACCTTACCTTATCCAATCGATTTACTCCTACTTTATAACCACATAGCATCATTCACACTACAAATTAAACATAATTTTAAAGTCAAGCCGAAAAATATTTTAATTTACACAATGTGGGCCAAAACTTGGTTGCAGATAGCAAAAACAGGCTCTTAGACCACTACACGATTTTAGATTTTCCATGTTAGGTATCTTTGTGCGTGCGAATAATAAGCTACAGAGTAGGATTGTTATATTTTGTCTTCCGGCCAGGAACATTAAAGAATGGCACCATCGATTGTGTACACACTTATTTTTGCACCTTTATTTTGGAACTGTGATTGTTTCTAGACTTTGTTCCAAAAATAGCTCCATATATACCTCTAATAGCGAAGTTTGGGCATGGATGGCGTCAGCGAATCATTAGTGAGACGTCTTGGTGTCGCTTTTAAATAGGTGAAGGTGGTGTGGCTTCCTCCAGCGTAGGGTGCGTTGTTGGCTTATTAGTCGCACTTTCGTTTGCTTCTTTTAGCTTCTTATTGTGGGCGTTTCTGTTTTTGCAGCTGATCGTTTGTCTGTGTGTACCACTTGCATTTCTCTTCCTGCATGGTATCATTTTGGAATGATTTTGCATGAGCAGAACTATGGAGGTTTGATGTCTTGCAGTTCACTCTTTTATTTTAAATAGGAGAATACAAAAGTTTCAAGTAACTTAACTTCATCTGTAGAAGCGAATTCTGACGGACCTAGAGGTGTGTCTCTGTTATCAGTTCCTGGAGAGTGCGTAGCAATGTTCATTTCTCGAGCTTTGGAGCAAATTATTGCGGAAAAGCAAATTCGAAAACCATCAAATAATGAACTTCGCGAAGCCTGCCGCGATGGCATTGAGTTTTTGAAGACGCGTATTGGAGTACTAGAGAAGGGCAAACATGATTCTCTTGGGTCCAACGGATACATGCCTACTTTGCAGGCTCAAGGAGGAGCATTATTAAATGACGAAAAGTTGTTGCGTCCTCTGGAACTTGCTTGCAAAAGCAAGTCTCCCAAGATCGTTGCCATTTCTTTGGATTGTCTTCAAAAGCTGATAGCCTATGGACATATTCCCAACAATGCTTCGTCTGACAAAGTGATCAGGCGCATTGTTCAGACTATCTGCTCCTGTTTTAGCGTAAGCGTAGAATTTTTGTTTTGAGCTATCTTTCAACTCAATTTTTATTACCTTCTGTTGTGCTAGATGTAAATCTTTCTAAGCGACTTGTTAAGTTGCTTGATTTGGTCTTCTATCCGACTTTACCAGGCTCTTATAAGTTTTCTGTTAAACCTAGTAACTTATTTTAGGGTGTAAATACGGACGAAGGTGTTCAGCTCCAGGTTATTAAGGCCCTTTTAACTGTTGTCACTTCTCCTGTTGTGGAAGTGCACGAACGCGACATTCTTCTCGTTGTTCGCACATGCTATAACATCTACATGGCCACAAGAAATCTTGTAAATCAAACTACAGCACGCGCTACCCTCACGCAGATGCTAAACGTCATTTTCCAAAGAATGGAACAGGCCACCCTTGATGCTGCAGTTCAACATGATCAGAAGTTTTCTGAAACCACGACTGAAGCTAGAGCCGCAACTGAGGCAAGTGAAATTGGTGTTGGAGAGCATGAAACTGATCATGAGAACACAATTTCTGAAAAGAAATCCGACTCTTTGAGTTTGGATGATGAGAAGTTTGCGGGTGGTTCTGTCGACCGTGAAGAAATACTAAACGAATCTTCCCTTTCAAATGTTGCTCAGACTGAAACCAGTCGAGAGGGATCGATTGCTAGTAAAAAAGAAGAAAGTGAAGACGAGGGAGATGAGGAAGAGGATGGAACTGGAGCATGCAACTATGAGACTGAATCACGTGCAGGAAGCCACAGTGATCAGGAAAAAGTTGATGAGCAAGAATCCAAACCCGCCTCCGACGAAGTAAGCGAGGAAAGTTTGTCACCGGCCACTCGTGATGATGGGCCGAGTATGGCTGAGGATGTTGGTGAAGCGACAGAAACTGCTTCAATAAATGCAGAGGAGGCGTCGAAATCTAATTCAATTCAACCTTCTGTATCTGCCTCGTCTCTCCGTGTAGAAACCATCAACGGTTCTGCAGCCGACTCGTCCGATGAAACCACTTCGTTTGACTTTTATTTTGCTCACGTATCGCAGAAGGACGCTTTTCTAGTTTTCCGCTCGCTTTGCAAGCTGGCAATGAAACCCCTAGCTAGCACGAACCCCGCTGATCCCAAATCACATGAGTTACGATCCAAGATCCTCTCCCTTCAGCTACTTCTCAGTATTCTTCAACAACCGGGTCCAGCCTTTAGATCAAATGCGGTTTTCATCACAGCAATAAAACAGTACTTGTGCGTAGCCCTATCCAAGAACGGTGTTTCCTCAGTTCCGGAAGTCTTTGAACTGTCTTTGGCTATTTTCCTCTCTCTATTAGCTCACTTTAAGCAGCATCTTAAGATTCAGATAGAGGTATTTTTCAAGGAAATGCTCTTTGCTGTCCTCGACTCGTCATCTGCTTCGTTTGAACACAAGTGGATTGTCGTAGAAGCTCTGCAGCGTATTTGTAAGGATAAGCAGTGCATTGTTGACGCCTATCTAAATTACGACTGCGATCTGGAACGAGCAAATATTTTTGAGAAGCTAGTAATTTGCCTTGCAAAGGTAGCTCAAGGTCGTCCCTCTGTGGATACGCGGACGACACAACCTCAACTTCAGAATTTGCGCAAAAAAGGTTTGGAGTGCTTAGTGCTCATCCTGAAGTGCATGGTACGTTGGTCTGGTGATCTTTTCAACGTGACTAATGAAACACAGTCATTCCTGGGTTCGGAACCCACTAATTCATCTACAAACACTAAGGAACATGACACTGATAGTGGAGCATCCGTCCGTAAGTCTGTAAACTCTCATCTTTCTCGACTTGTTTACCAGAACGTATACAGTTTAAGTAGTGGTGAGGAAGAAGTATGGCATGCTTTATTGGGCTTTATCTTTAGCTTTGGTCTTGAAATAAACCTTTGTTTTTTTCGTAAAAGCGTTAAGGACCATTGTCCCAACAGTTTTATAGAGCCAGATCTTTGAAGTTTTGACGTTAGGGTAAGTAAATCAAACACTCCTTCATTTTTCATTTGTCCATCCTGATATTTCTTGACTGTAATATTAGGTTTGAATCAGATGGTTCAAGATGATCCCGAGGCATTTGAATCTCGCAAAGCCATTAAAGAAGTGTACGAGACGGGTATACACCTGTTTAATCGGGGAAAAATCTCCAGAGGCCTTGCCTTGCTTCAAGAGAACAATCTTTTGGGAAATAGTGCCGAGGAAATAGCCATGTTCTTGCACAACGAGTCACGCCTTTGTCGTACCGCCATTGGCGACTTTCTAGGCGAGAATGAAGCTTTTGCATTGGAAGTCATGTACGCCTATGTGGACTGTTTCGATTTCTCTGGATTTGAGCTCTTACCTGCTCTGAGGTCAGTTCTGCAGTTTGCATGCAATTCCACTTTTTATTGCCTTCTAAAAAGGAATACACAGATACTTTTACCTAGATATCTTTACGATTCCCTTCTGTTAGTTCCACCGAGATCTGATGCCCCGTTTTGATCTATTTAGATTATTTTTATCTGGTTTCTGGTTACCTGGTGAGGCACAAAAGATAGATCGCTTGATGGAAAAATTTGCGGCTCGATACTACGCATGCAATCTGAATAACACACTCTTCGCCTCCGCCGATACTGCTTACGTACTGGCCTTCTCTATCATCATGCTTACCACTGATCTCCACTCGGAGAAAATTAAGCAAAAACAAAAGATGAGCAAGGTATTTTGTTGTAGAAGTCCTTTGGATTACTAAACAATTTGTTCGCGTTTGTCTTTGTAAGCGCTATCATATGCTAAACGATAGGCCGATAAAATTGCTTCATTCGGCGTCATGGATGTAGTATCCTCGAGACATTTTAAAATACGACCCTTAAGCTCATATGGGTCCATTTTGGGTGTTTGATGTGAAATTCGGTGGTGTTGCTGCATGAACTCGGATGATTGAATGATCTTGCCTTATTAGGTCTCCATTGGCAGCGATTATTGTTCCATTTGCGGTCTATGATCCATTTCTTGGTTGCTACACGTAGTTCTTACGCAATATTTATCATGAGTTATTTTAATCGCCTTGATCCCAAATTCGAACTCGGGTGTTATTGGGTCAAAACTGTTCCTGAACTGCGCCCGTACCTTTTCAATCATGCACCCGCTTTATTCTGCCCGCCATCATATGCTGTAATGAACAAAATGTGGCGTACGCCCTTTTGCTCATTGCCTTACATTCTGACCTTAGTAACGTCTTGCGGAGTCTTAGCAGCGAGGAGTTTTTCGTGTAAATACTAACATATTTGCTTTTTCGAGGCTATTCTGTAACACTTATATTGCCTCTTCTTTTATGTTAGAACAGAAGTGCTAAATTTTATGCTTCATTTATGAATATCTCGTCTTTCACGTCCTCATTGTAACGCTCTCCACAAAACACTGATGGTACCGATTCATGCATCTGCAGTTAGTTTGCATACTTGCATTCAAACTTGTGTAATAATGGTGAAATCGGAGGTATTGTTTGTTTTCGCGCACCTTCTGATAGGAGGACTACATAAAAATGAATCGAGGTATCAATGACAGCCAAGATTTGCCGCGTGAATACCTCGGTAAGATATACGACGAGATTGCCCAGTGCGGCATTCAAATGCGCTCTGAGGACATTTCGTCTGTGCTCACCAGTAATGGCACTGCAGGCAATCCAAACAATGGTGCATCTACTGGCGTAAGGGCCTTAATGGAGTCGGTGAGTTTTCCTATTTTTTGCAGTCGCTCATCGCACGCAAATGCACTCGATCATTATTCCGCCCAAGCTGGGCTCAATTATAGAGCATTCGATGATCGACTCACTATTTTGTGGTAGTTTTAATTTTTCATAGTTGGCATTGATGGTGGGTTGTTAAACTGTCGTATTGACCAGCGATTGTATTTAAGGTTAAGTGGTGATTTGACGAATAACAGCTAGCATTTATGTGTAGGTTTTCGCAATTTTGATAATGCGTTTTACGTGTGGTGTTATACATTTTGAATTGGGTGAATGGTTTAAAACTACTTCGAAAAGAGTTTTGTATATTCATTATTAGCTGGCACATGACTTTTGCTAAGGTTTTAGGCTTGATGTGCGCACTATACAAGCTGAAGCCAAGGGCCGTTATTTTTCGTGATAAGATTTAACAACTAGCGAAACTGTGATTGATGGTTGGAATGATTGTTAACGTTATTCTTGCACATAAGATGAATTTCGTTTTGTCCCTCATGGAGGTACGTACTTTTAACACCCAAAAGCAATTTTCCTTTGAAGTACTAGTGGTTATTAGTGCAATCGTTGTCAGTGGTGTTATTTTCTTGTATAGTATGGAGCTCTAGGCATTTTGTCCAGAGTTACCCTCGTTTCGGTCGCAAACTCTACCATCCCAGGTTTTTAAGGCAATGCTCTTTTGTGGCCCTGTATAGCAGATAGAGATAATGTGCTCTGAACCCGGCTAAAAATTGTTTATATCTGTCGACGCTTACTCAAAATATCATCTGAGGTATCGTGCCAATGCTTACGAAAACAACTCAAACCGATTCCAAATCATTATTGAGCAAGTCAGTGTTGTTCAACACATTTTTGTTCTATTGTATGAACTTGGTAAATTGCGATACTTGTAGGTGAGTCACATGGAGTCTGAATTCACATGTGCCACGCATTTTGAACACGTCCGGCCGATGTTTAAGTTGGTATGGACACCCTTTTTGGCGGCCTTCAGCGTCGGGCTGCAAGACTGCGATGATCCGATAATAGCTCACCACTGCCTCGAAGGCATTCAGTGCGCTATCCGCATCGCTTGCACATTCCGTATGGAACTTGAGCGTGACGCCTACGTCCAGGCTCTGGCTCGTTTTACTCTCCTTCTCTCCACTTCTCAATCTCAGAGTGATACACTTGCGATCAGCGGTCAGGGCATCGGTGTAGTGGGTAACCATTTAAGGTACACGCCTTCAAGCTTTCACTCCTTCTCGTGCTGTTGCTTCTTGGTTGCCTTCTCATTGGTTTCATTTATACACTTATTGCTCACTTTAGAGGACGTCTCGAGTCCATGCACAGCCAGATGACTGGAAGCAATTCGTCCATCAATTCTTCTTTGAACACAGTAGAACCACCTTTAATAATAAGTCCCACACCAGAGATGATGAAATCAAAGAACGTTGACAGTATTCGTACGCTCATCTCGGTAGCTCAAACCGATGGTAATTATCTTGGACATTCGTGGCTCCACATTCTTCGCTGCATCTCCCAGTTAGAGTCGGCCAATGTCATTGCCACCAGCACAGGGCGCTCTCTGCCTCGACGTCGTCAAGGTCCACGTAGGTTACTCGAACATTCTCGCTTGTAAAACTTCTGGATCATGCCTAGGGCAGTTCTCCTTAAATACACCTGCGTAACATCCCTTTGGGAAACAGCTATGGATTTTAATCGCTTTTCCAGCAGCAGACGTATCCCTTGTTGATTGCAGACGCCACCGGCGAAGAGGCCATTGTGGCAGAAGGTGAAGGACAGAATAGGCTGACACGCAAACGTAGTGGCCTCGCACCAGGCAGTTTAGCTGCTGCCACGGTGGACTCCCGCAAGGCCGCTGTGCTGCAAGAGGTCATGGGTGAGACAGGTTCCCGCAGCGTAGTGGTCGCGGTTGATAAGATCTTTTCGGGCTCTGTCCGCCTTGATGGTGATGCAATCGTGGACTTCGTGCAAGCACTTTGCCAGGTAATTGCATCTGCCTTCAATTGCTTCAACTATCTCATGCTATTAACACTACTGTAGGCCACGTTGGCAGTGTGTTGTTAAGTCATAATTATGCCGAGACATTGGTGTGCCTGGCATGAATGTATGGCATTTATGTCTTGCTCTATAAGGTTATGAAATTATTCTTGTTTTGTGCAGTTCTATCTAGGCTGGTTGTTTGTGATTGAGGTGATTAAACTTACGTACCCAATATCAAACGGAATGCGGTAATGAATGACCGCTTGTTGCCATAGGAAGCGTAGATTGTTTTTTTCCTTAACCGTTGCTCAGCAACCGTCCATCTAACTTTAGTCATGCATTGAACATGAAGTTATACCTTTTTTGGACATTAAACATTATTTCCACGCGCTTTTGAAATGCCCATAAATATCCATTACGAAGGCATTCACAGACTGAATGGGGTCGTAGCTAAGCTTAATCAATGGTTTAAAAGACCTATGCTCTTACGTTAAGCGTCATGACAATGAGTATTCAATCCATGTACCAGCTATGTGCGCAATGTGATATTTTGGGGTCACCATCTATGAGGTTGCCAAACAGGGCGTTGCTAGTTTTAGTTCCAAAATAAACACCTTTCGGTGCTGATTCAGGCATTTACCTACACGAAAACTCATCCATCAAAAGTTAATTGAACTGTTTCATTTTTATTAAGGCTTATATATTACAAAATCGTGAGAAACTCATTCTCTTCTCTTGATTACTTTTGGACACATTAATGACGAACTACTGCTACGCCTATTCCTTACTTTTGAAGTCCACTTCACTGGATCTATTCCTATCCCCATTTACAGTTTTTTTAAATTGTAATTCTTAACTAAGTGGACATAATCTGATGAATAACCACTTGGAAACGTGTTTATCTCGTCGAATAAGCATGCGATATGGTTAGTCATCTCCTGGTGTGTTTTAGGTGTCACTAGAGGAACTGGCTCTTCCTCAGCCCCGCACTTTCAGCCTTCAGAAGGTAGTGGAGATTTCTTATTACAACATTGGACGCATCCGCCTTCAATGGTCACGCATCTGGGAGCACATCGGACAGCACTTTACCACTGCCGGCCGTTCCGCCAACGAGGATGTGGCCATCTTCGCGGTGGACTCTCTGCGCCAACTCGCAGTCAAATTAATTGAAAGGGGTGAACTGCCAAACTTCCACTTCCAAAAGGAATGCATTCGGTCAGTTTGGCGCCACCAAACTCCATTCCTTCCTGATTCATCAAGTGTGATGCGTGTTGCTGTACGCGGAGGTCCTCATAATGGTTGAAAGTATTTTTTGTTTTGAAGCTGTTGATTAATGTTGGTGTTTTAGCATGGAGCCTAGTTTTGTCGTCAGCAAGTGTGAACACTGTTCTATTTTTTTTTATAATTGAGCTGGCCTGATTAACTGAATTGCATTAACCCTTCCAGCGTATGCATACTTAGATGACTGATTGTAGTTCCAGAATTGCGGCTCATTTTCGTACCGCTGTTGTAACCACTTCTTCGTTTACGACATTTACTCATTCTAAACCCAAAGAAATGGAACTGGTTGTTTTCCCATACAATGGTAGCACTTCGTTCTACTCTCATAGTTGTTTTTGTGGGAGCTAAAGCTGGTCATTTACTTCAATTCGTGGCCATCTGTAAAGCCCATCTTCAGTTGGTGACTTCAGATATCTGTCACCATATTTCACTGAAAGGCTTTTTGTGTGAGGTTCCGCAGGTATACCTATATTTCACGTTACTTTTGCCTGCTTCACGAATCGGTTGAAATCGTTAACGGCAAAGTTATGGTTGTTCCTGTAAAATCTAGTCCGAGTTTTATTAGTCAGTGTATGTATTAGTTTCTTTGCTGCACCCATTTGGTGAGAACGGCGTGAAAGCAAGCTTTCATAAATCAAACATCACGCAAACATAATATCTTTAAGTTCCATTGCATGATAAGTGGATTTAAGGCCATTTGTAAACTTGAAGTAAAATCTTCATTCGCTGCTCACTTACGATTTACGTTACGCCGTATTAGTGAACTGAAACAGGTTAATTGTTACCGAACCTCTGCTCAGTCCCCTTGGTCATATAGTGTGTTCTTTTTGATTACTCGCAAAATTAGGCTCGTTTAATTGTTCATTAACTGCTATTTCTTATTTTAACGCATAATACTCGATTATCAATTTGTATTTTGTACATCGAAATATTTTGTGTGTTTAAATGTCTTTAGTACCTTTGCAAGAACCTCCCAACTCGCCATTGTTGTTTTCATTGCCTTAGCGAGGCGAGTGCAAGCGCCGCTGATTCACTGTTGTGCGTATTATTTCAGGCCGTTCCTGAATATCTTGGACGATATAAATGAGGTGGAGCCCAGTATTCAGGACATGGTGGTTCGATGTGTCTCGCAACTGATCCAATCTCAATGGACTAACATTCGGTCCGGTTGGACTAACATCTTTCTTGTGCTTTATACGGCTGCTGCATCCACTGAGGAGGGTGTCATTGAGCTGGCCTTCAGTGCTTGCTCCTTTGTTATCAATACCGTCTTTCCAAATAACTTCCACGTCCTTATCAATTCTTTTCCGGTATGTTCCTCCTTCTGCTTTACTGTCAACTTATCTATAAGATCGCCTAATTTCCGAAGCCTAGCATTAATTTAGTGTCGCTCCCTAATTCCTTTTTCATTGTCTATTTCCGTCTGGTCCGTTTTCATATTTATTTAGCTTAGAAAATACCTCATATCGTTTAAAACTTTTGGTGATTTCTAACTGTGATCCCTTATTTTTCTCCTATTTCAAAACGTTTATGGGGTCCACTTTCCCAAAGTTATGAATATGTATGAAGTCTAATGCTTTTTTATCTCTGAGTAGGTCTTCATAAAGGCTCTGGCGGAGTTCGCTTGCAACTTGCATTTCCCCGACACTTCGATGGAGGCAATTCGGCTACTCCGACTGTGTGCACGCATCGTCAGTGAGCGGGCCCTCCAGTTTGCTGATGAATCCAACTCGTCCAAGAATGCCCCGACCACTGAGATCACTTCTTCTGAAGAAGATAAAGAGGACGATGTACTATGGAAACGCGGATGGATGCCTATCCTTTACGAGCTATTCCGAATCATCAATGAGTAATTTTGATGTCGCTTTACTGTTTATGCATACGTTTTGCGTTGAGCCATATTTACCATTTCACACAGACTGTGACCTCTTATTGTCTAACTCGACAGTTCCAAACGTTCTCTAAGAACATGCGATAGCGTCACTTACTACCGCTTAAAACCAAGTTTTAACAATTATCACAGAGTATAGTGTCAATGAGGCAGCAAATTGCGCACAGATATACTCATGCATTCGTGGGCTTGTAATCACATTACACCCAAACGCTGTTCCAACTTAAATAGCGTGTATAATTGGTCGCCTTTAATTCACCTAGCTTTTATGTGCTCATGAGAATAAGGCCTTGTTTAATGTCTTTGTTTTATAAATTTTGTACTCTTCGTCGCTGTGATGCTTTGACATCCAAAGGAATCTTTTCTGACTGTTCTCATGCGGTACAAAACCAATTTTATTTAATAATGGACAGACAGATGAGATTTACCCTTTTATCGTTTACAGTTTGGTAAAACAAGGAAATCTCAAATTAACCATTTTTCATTTTTCCTACATAGCTGTAAGTTGGACGTGCGGACACGGGGTTTAACCGTATTCTTCGAGGTGATTAAGTCCTACGGCTCAACTTTCCATCTCAGTTGGTGGGTGCAAATCTTTAAGCTTATCTTCTCCATCTTCGAGCATGGTCGTGACACCAGTTTGGGAGTTACGGCTCCTTCGCATGCGGCGAAGACAGAGACTACATTGCAGAACAATCGACACCGTCTCATCTCCGGTGACCAACTCGATGCTTTTGGCATCACCTATCGCATCTTCACCAGTCCCGCCGATCGCAGTGAATGGCTCACTACGACCTGCAATCATGCTCTCTACTCCGTTATAGACATTTTTTCACAGTTCTTTGACCAAATTGGTGACAGCTTACTTGGTAGGCAAATCCGGTTCCCAGTTCTCATTTGAATTTCTTGGAAGTAACTGGTAAAGTAATCTTATTGATAGGGCAAAAAGGATCTCAGTCTCGTCTTGTGGCTTTTATACATTAATGAAGAATTGACTTTCTTCTCTGTAGCGTATAAACCTGAATCCAAGCCTTACCATTTTTCCAGCCTTTATTGGATGTGGGTGAAGGAATTTTCATAAAACCTTGCTTTTTGGTAAATTTGAATGCAAAAATCTGCTTCTAATCGACAGCGCGCATCCTTCTTTTCCTTTTCTCTTTGGTAGTTGCCTTTTGCGGAACGCATAATTAATATTTCGGCTATACTCACGCCATAAACTTTCGCTTCTACATCACTTTGCCTTCCTCCTTCATGGGAGTATACTTGAAGTATTTTCAAAACTGATTCTACAGAAAATTCATCAGTCTGGTAATGCTGAGGTCCTTACTTTGGCACTATACTTTGTAATGATGTCCTTTCATAGCAGTACCAAGGTCAACGCGACTTGATGCGTGCACCCGTTATTGTAGGGGACCTCTACAAGCAGCTAAAGTGGTGCTGTCTTCAAGATCACGAACAATTAGCCCGTTCGGGAGCCAGCTGTCTGGAGACCATGGTTCTTACGAATGGGTCAAAGTTTGATGCAGCGAAGTGGACAATGACCATCGACCTTATTGTGGATCTCTTTAAAACAACTGTTCCTAACGAACTGCTCACCTGGCGTCCGGTAATCTTGGATTATTATTTGTCTCTACTTTCAGCAACTCTTTTTGAGCCATTTTTCGTTTTTCGAGCACTGTAATGGTGGGATTGAAAAGGTGATGATTTATAATGATTATTTTTATCCTTGTAATCCACACCTTAATGGAATTTGTGCGTCTCCTATTTTGCAGCATGAGTTGTTTTGAAAATCGATGTTTTCACAAATGGTAGATAAACAGTATCCTGGTTGTTGGTGGTTTAATGCCAATGACAACTAGAAGACTTAGTGCAATGCTTGCCATCAGAGTAAGGATTGGCATCCTTTGATGGTCACATCTCGTGGTTCCTTGCACCAAGTGATGCATAAACACTAGCTTCACCGCATCGTCACCCGAAAAAACAGCAACTGCTGCTTTTATTTTCTTTGAACGGTTGTGATTCATGTCTTAACGACGCTGCCCATGGTGGTATCAGAATGTGGAACATTGAGCACGTTTTATTCAATTTTAGGGTTTTAGACCCCTTTAAAGTCAACACTATCTTTTTGTCTGTTTTTTTACATAATATCAGCGTTGCGACAAATTGATCCTTGTACAATCGTTTGATTAATTTGTATTATGTAAGAGTAGGTTTTTCTTGCCTTAGGACCACTCAGTCGACGGTGTTGCAGCAGATGAGGCAGCAGCGAAACGACACCAATCGGCATGCACTCGGCTTTTTTTGCGACTCTTGGTCAACTGCATTGTGCAGTACGAGCTTATCCAGACAGTAGACAACATCCTCTTCTTTCCCTCGCGTAGTCGACAAGAGGATGCGCTTATTCTCCAGGAGACGCGTCGCTCCTCTGCCCAGCTGAATTCGCAGCTTCTGAATGGTGCAGCGGGCACAGTCTCTGGCAGTGGTGCAAACTCTTCTCTTCAGGTTCACACTCCTGAGGAGAAACGACTTCTGGAGGCTGCCGTTAAATCCGGGGTTGTCACTTCTCCTGCTCCTTCCTCCGAACCTTCTATCTTGCCCGATCTTGGAGGTGATGCATCTCGTTAGTAGCGCTACCTATGCCTGTTTTACGCACATAAATGTCTCCAAAGCGTTTGTGTCATTTGTTGATGAGTTACGTTTGGGCAACGATTTTCAGTGCTAAGTAATGCAGTAGTTTTCACCTTTGGATGTCTTATCTTATTTGCATTGACTTACCCACGACCGTGAGCCTTATTTGATTTTTTCACAGTTGCTCAAGGAGCATTAAACTATTGCATTCTTTTGCATCCGATCAATTAGCCCGCCATCTTTCATATCATTTCGTGTCTTATAGATGCGGAGGAGCTAGTGAATGGCGCGTTACCATTGCATAAGAAGGCAATTTTTTCCTTCATTTCTTACGAGCATCGTCTCACGCTTGTCCAGTGCCTCATGGAATCACACAAATTTGCTAAAACCTTTAACTCCAATATGGAACAACGGAATATCTTGTGGGAAGCCGGTATGTTCAGTTGAACCCTTTATATGCGTTTCATCATTCAGTTTTTCTGCTCTTACAATGGGAAACTTGCTTTTGTGTTTCTTATCCTTAAATTCACTTGAAATTCAATAAACCACACTTCATTGTCACAGGTTAAGATAGTGTTGAAATCATGACATTCTCATGAGGTTTCTAGTGGATCACTTTTTTCTTCCAAACCATAACTAGAACTGTCAATCATTCCTATTTCCAAAGGTCGGTTCTTAATCTTTCAGGATTCAAAGCAAAGGCTAAACCGAACCTATTGAAACAAGAAACCCACAGTCTTTCCACAGCTCTGCGGATCTTGTTCAGAATTAGTGAGGAGGAAAATGAGCGTCAACAGGAAGTATGTTTCAGTTGTATTTTGGGCACCATTTGTTCTTGCGAGTTTGTATTCTTATAATCTACTTCAGTCCTTCAACTTGGGCTGCTACTCCCATAGGAGAGCCCTTAGACGCATCTCATTGATTGGTTTTTTATTTCTTCAAAAGGTGACAGAGATGCTGGAAAAGACGATAGAAGAGGCCATTGTCTACTATCGGGGTCTTCCCGTAGATGGCCACCGCCAAGCCTGGGACAGTTGTCTCCTACTGACGCTCACACGTCTGGTTCATCTCTCGCCGGACAGTAGGTTCGCCTCTATCGCGACTCATCTCTACCCCACCGTCTGTGACCTGGTCGGACTGCCGAACCTTTCTCCGGAGGTCTCCGTCCTTCTTCGGGCTTTCCTGCTTCGTACAAATAAGAAGTAATGTGTACCAAGGCAACGTGTCTCTCCGATGTTTCAATCCCAAGCTCTTCTTCATGCGGCTGTGTTTGCATCTTAAGATTTGTAACTGTGCTCCCATCGTTGTCTTACTAACGCACTCGTGGCCTAAGTTTGCCTTCTTTTCTCTCCCTCTATTCTACATTGATCCTTCTTTCCCAACCTATTTAGCTGTGAACGTTACTAAATTATACTACTGGAGGAAGTAATGTGTATCTTTGCGGCTCTAAGAAAACAGGGAGGTGTTACCATAGCGGCGGTGGTGGTTAGTTTTGGACAAGTGGGGTGCGGTGCGCTGTTGTAATGGGTTCTGTCTTCTCTGGCTATGGTATTGCGGTGGAAGGGAGTCACGAATCACGGTCATCAAGGTTATGGAAACCTGTCTTGTGGGATGTTACTCAATGTCACTTCCTACACCCAAAATGCAGTGCATTTATGTCAGAAAGAATATCCCAGGGATTAGGGGTACGGTACACTTAGTACTATGGTGGTTAGATGAGCCTCATCAATAATTCGACAATTAACTCAAATCTCACCAAAAGCGCACCAAAAAGATAAAACGGGCTGTAACATTAACCAGTTTGTTTAAGTGACTTTTATAAGTGAGAGGAGGGAACCAAATGGCGCCGCGAATCACGTGCATGAAGCCGGCGAGGAGTCTCCCTTTGATTGATATCTTCTACTCACCACATTTGTATCCCATTCCCCATCCTTCCTAATAACAATGTCTAACAAATCGCCTGCAACCAACTGCCTTTTAAAGTCTGAAGATCAGGGATCTGGAGATAGACAAGCAACGTTACACGAGCAAAATAGCGGGGAGTGATTCTCAGAATACAGTCAAGTTGGTGTCAAGGCACACACGACTCAAAGATTGTCAAATTCGAAATTATGCACTGAAGTCCCTCGAGCCTAACACTGTTACAAGCAATAGTTTAGAGTTATCCCACTAAAATTAACCAACCTTCGTAATTTAATACCTAATTACAACACTTATGTCTTCCTACATGTATCTTTAGTTGAATTTTTCGTTGATTCAATTGGTTGGCAGTGATGGTCGTATGCTAAGTGTCTCGCTCAATGGCTCGTTATGAGATGCCAATAATTATAAAGGCCCTTGGGAATGAAGGCGTAAAAGCAGCTCTCAAAAGGCACATCCTCCGTCTCTTGGACAATGACCAAGTCGTTTTTGATGTGAAGAACTTGGGGCTAAAACGACTTCCCCAAGTTTACCGTGTTGGCGGAGAAAAGCAATTTGAAGGTCACTACTTCCTCCTTAATGTGGATGGACCCACCGAGGGACTCAGGAGAGCAACGGTACATTAGAGTCCTATTCGCAAATTTCCATTCTAGGCGCTCTCCAAGAAAGACGGCGGAATTATCAAATGTAACTCCTGCAAAATCGACGACGGCTGGCGCCCACCATGCAAGGTTCCCAACGCTCCCCCATGTGAATTTGGCGAGATCCGGAACCCAAACTATGAGAAGACGGCAAGAACCAAGCACGGGTTCCGCGCCTTTTGATACCCATTCCGTTGTGTAAAGAGTCACAGTCATCTTCCCTAGCCTCATTCCTCGTCATATGCTCTATTACAAAACTAATCATCGGCTTTTACAAACATCCAAACGCAAAAACAGTTTTATACAAACTGTCGACTTAAAGTACACTCATTTCGGTCTTCTGAGCTTCTTTATTCTGTTATCAGACTTTTTCGAGAGTTGGTAGGGTTGCAGTTTGGGTTTTTTGGATTTCGGACCCATTGAATACTTGATAGAGAAACTCGGATCCCGGTTGTTCAATTTGGATGGAAGTGTTACATGCACTCCTTTTTCAGCCTTGTTTTTAGTCGCAATTTTCCTTGCCTGCACCGTTGAGTCGTCCACAACTCCAACTTGTTCAGGATCCATATTTCCGCAACAGCGTTTCTTCGCTGGCATAACCACGACTTCGTCTTCTTCTGGTGCTTTGCGTTTCAATTCTCTGTGCAAAACTCCTTCTCTCTTCATTACCTCGTCCCCATCCAATTTTGCTTTGGACTGAAATAGAAAATTAGGCTTAATCCTGTCATTCACGTAAGCAATTTGGCATGGTCAGGCGATCACCTTGATTAAAAAGTTGACATAAATGGGTGTCCCCTTTAATAAGGTGTCGTGGCGTTCCATGAATGCCTTTTGAGCCAATTCACGAGTCTGGTATTTCAAAACGCAAAACCTATAAAAAATAAATGACAAGCTTTGATCTGAAAATAGAGTACCCTACCCCTTGGATGTACCGTCTGGAAGAGTCTCGTATTTGATCTTGTGTGCAGTACGAAAGATCTGCGCAAGAATTGTGCGCTCTGTCGAACGTGGAAGGCATGAGACATAGAGAGTTGTCAAGTCAAAAGCGTCAAGCCCACGTTCCATCGGTGACTGCCAGTCGGCTTCGGTTCGGGTGGGCTTTTGACTACATACAATAGCTCTGATTGATTTTCCATTCATTACTCGCCCTGTCACCTCTTTCGCTGCTGTTTCTGCCTCTGCCGGAGTCTTAAATTCGATGAAAGCATACCTAGGGAATTTCAGAGAATTAGGCGAATCTGTTCCCCATTATTTCGGATGAGCAGGGTTAGAAACTAAAGCAGAAGCCTTAAGGACTACAAATGTGAAAAAATATCCCAATAACAGTACCTGCGATTCCGTCCTGATGGTATACGCACAGCAACTGACGTGGGACAGAGATTCTGGAGCAAAAGAGAGGGACAGGTTTTCGGCACTGGTGAAACCCTGATGGTTCTTGCGTTATGATCATCTGGAAGAATGCGAAGCTGTGATTACATTAAATGTCAAAATCTAAAACTATTAATAGCCTATTTGCTCACGTGCAGTGAATGTGGAATAAGCTTATGATAAGGAGGGCAAGTGTTGCAAAACTAACAGAACGTACAAATACGTTTCTGGATTTCAGCAAGCAAAGAAGTGTCATCCAAGCTGTCATTAATTATCCTTGCACTTTCAGGAAGGATAATAGAAGAAGGCAATCGCGGTTCCTGAAATATTCGGTAGGATTGCCAAAAGGCGCCAAGGGCACCTCAGCGCGGGAATTCACAGCATGGAATTTTGAGAGCTAACTAACCTTCAAGGCGCTTTTGGCTTCTCTGATCATTTTCTTCTTCGGATTGCTTTCAGGTGGTTTTGAAGGCTTCCAAGTTGTAGAAAATAAGAATAAAAATGAAGCATTAGACCCGGGAATGGCGTACACTAAGCGACGCATGAGGCTAATATGCATTGACAAAGGAAACAATAAGCAAATCGTTTTTAAAGAGCCATGCCAGAACACCATCCAAAATAATTTTCCAACACGGAAGCATAATGATATAGACGGAAGGAACATACTTTATCCAAAGCGTCTGAGTTGCTAATGGCAGGTCTCGACGGTTTTTTAGCGGCAAAAGAGTTCAAGTTCCTCATGATCAGCCTACAAATGTCGAGCAAATAAGGCTATTACAGCCTCGAACAAAGGCAAGACCCCAGTAAATTACAAGGCAAGATCACAGTTAACTTGACGCGAAATGAAGATTAAGAGCACAAAACAATGAGAAACAGATTGAGGAACGGAAGATCCAATATTCCAGAGCACAAGTCCCCACCTCATCAGTTGACATGCTCAAAAAAATCATAAGACAATGTCCAAAAAAGCCCACAACTCCCATACACTAAAAAGTATCGAGGACGCAAGACTGCCAACTTAAACCAAGAATTAAATTCCTGATGTCGAAAAACCCCTCATGCACGCGACCCCACACAAGCAGCGGTTTCGCACACGTTGAAGTCAGCTAGCGACCCTTAAGATCCTACATTCATGTCAACAATTTGGATGACATAAAGATAAAACTTCTGACTGCTTAAAGACCCTTCTGATACGTCGCAAAGTATTTATGTGATGTGAAGCAAGAACCTCAGTAATGTTAACGCACGCCAAGAGCACGACGAAGACCAATCTTATTAATGTCGCGAACTTAAGTAAAGCATTTAAACTAATTCAACGATTTGTTAGCACTACAGCAAAAAAATTATAACGCTAACAAAAATTTAATTTTACACAGAAGCTAGTACCAAAAGAAAATTTAAAAACAATGCGTGGTTCGAAGTTACCAGTCACTGCATGATTAATTTCATCACTGTTATACAATACAGTCCTCGAAACAACTCCGTTGACTGTAGCTTGTAGAACCTGCCTATCTATCTCCAACTCTTGAACCACAGACTTCAAGGGAGGGTTAGCTGCAGTAGATTTGTTAGGCATTGATTACAGGAAGAACGGACATATGAGTAGAGATAAACCGAATAAATAAATATCACCCAGAGAGGGGTTCCCCACGGTCGTCATGCACCGCGTTCGAATTCGAATTGACTTTTCGCATCTCCCCCAAAAATCGAGCCTAAGCCTGCAGTGTCCCGAGGCTTCCCTAGAGTGGAAAAAGGCATAAGTGGTGTTGAATAAATGTATTCCGAAACGACAGGGCAATTGGGGCCTGAACATGGCCAGAGGGCCAGCCAATATATACAAGAGCCACACAAATTCTATAGTGACCGCTAAAACTCATAAGCTTCCATAAACAAAGCTTTACGTTGCCCCTCACCTCTTTAAAGAAAAGTCCCCGACGCTCGCCTCGGCAAAACAACCGCACCAACCGTCACGACATATTCAGTACTACATAAAAGCACCCACATGCCATCTGTGCCAGTCGACAGACAGCATGAGACTGAGAAACAGTTCCTGGTCTCCTCGGCAGATTTAACTAGATATGAGGTTACACTCGGTCTGACGACCAGATTCAGAGTCGCATACATCTGTTGTTCATCAAATGCTTCCAGGAATAGATGGTTGAATTTGGGTCTAAAACATACATGTTACAGGGAAAGTGGGGCGAGCCATTGTTCGGCATTTAAGGGGAACTATAGTGTCATTTCCGACATCTAAACACGGATTTCGTAGGAGAAAAATTCAAAGCACAAAATTTCTCCGGATGGTTCACGGCGGTGTCACTTCAATTGTTAATAGCTTGGCTGTGGAACACGGGAATAAGGCGAAGCTAAATGCAGACGTCAGTGCCAACTCCTTCTATGTGAGGAATTCAGGGATTCTCCGTCACTGAGATAAATGCGCCTGCTCCACACCGTAGGTACATGCAACGAATGGTACGTACTAGGATAGTAGTCATTGAAAAAAGTTGGGTTCGCTTACCGCTGCCACCAGTGTAGTGTCCCGAGGATTTCCATAGGATGGAGGAAGGCATAAGCGAGGTTGAGTACATGTATTGCGAAGACGACAGGACAAATGGAGGCTGAGCGTGACCCGAAGGCCAGCCTACGCGTACAAGGGCCAGACAGATCATAAAAGTGACCGCCAAACGTCATGT